TAAAAATATATTAACGGAGCTTAATTAAACGGATCGATATATTACTTTAGTAAAATACTTACTACGCTGTTAAGCTACTTAAACCATTGTAAAATGTAAATTCTGGGTATGCAATAAGACTGTATTTATTATCAGGGGCTTGATAAACCTCTTACTGTCGCCCTTCTGCCATGAATCGCAAATGCGGTAAATTAATAGGCCAGATACACAGGAGACTCGTCGTCTTTACCCTCACGCGATTCGTAGATACTTTATATAAAACTTCCTGAACCAGCGACGCCATTAATATTAATATAAGCGTACCGCAAACCAATAAAAACATATTTTCACATCAACAAACTCATATTAAATGCACGTACCGTTCGTATACTAAACAAATCCGTGATTTAATATTACTAGATAATAAAAACGACAGTTACACGACCATCTCTACTAAACTCCCATCACGCCCTTGCCAATGATACACAAATCATAATAAACTTGGTACAAGTTCATACTTATAAACTGCAGACTACACTTATAGTCGCATATAAACATCGATGTATGACGTAGAAACCATCAAACCGACTAGAAACCGGTTCGTCTTCACATGAATGCACACATACAAGTGTCCAATTAAACGAGATCCGTGACAGTCTGTGATACCGGTCTCTGGCAGGCTCGAGGCGAAGGGCGTCCAGAGGCGAGGCGGATCACGCTTCACTGGACAGTGATAAGAAAGCGGCCACAGTAGACAGACCCACGGGGAGCAATCTATTATAATATTGTGATTGCTCTTCATACTATAGAAATTATATCAAAGCTAATTATTATTTGTAAGTGAGCGAAAAAATTGGCAAAGGTTAAAATATTGGTAATTATAATATTATCAGTAATGTATAGCTACTATAATACAATAAAATTTATATCCTATAACTCGATTTTTAATATAGTTTAATATTTAAAAATTCATTTTGCATTCCAAGATGTTCAATTGTAATATATATACGAAACCTCATATTGCTCTATACTTTATGGATTTTTTTATGGAATAAAAGAAAAGTATTTTTGTTAAAACAAGCAATTCCCAGGATTAATTGAGAGTTGTGTTAAAAAAATATGATTTCTATCCTTATCAGTGTAAGATCGACATCGCAAGACAAATTAATTCCCATGTGAGCCTACTTATGGGCATAAAAACACCTATTTAACTCATCTACAATTCATGCAATCAATATAAGGCGTCATGAAGTTGTAACTTTCTTTCCTCCGTAACAGAAATAAACTCTCGCAAAAGCAAATGAACAGGTTGGAGCGATTTTAATCTGGTCTAGTCTAAAGTATAATATATATACATATAAAAAAAATATTTGACTGTATGTTTGATATATTGAAATAACGTCATTTTACTAAACGCATATGTATACAGCGTATATTTCTTTAAATTTTTTTATATTTGTTCTGGCTTATCCCTGAAACGACTGGCCCAATTTCTACGGGACTTTTTGCTGTCAATATATGAATTATTTCAATTTAATTTATTTTTTCAAATAAAATACTGTTCCGTAAAAACGTAGTCGCGGCCACAGCTATTGTCGTATAAAACAATAATGACATATTATTAATATTGTAATAGTTATACATTATTAATGATGGACAAGTACATAAAATTATTATGATATCATAAAATCCCTATAATTGAATATGAACTATAAAACGTTAATTATAATTATTGGAATTATTATAGTTCCGCAGAAACAAACGCTCTATGAAATACGATGAAATGGTTTTATCATGTTGTACGAAGACTCTGATGTCGTAACGGTATTGCTTACTATGAGTTTATCACACGTCTTAATATGAGTTTTATATTTTAAGTAATAAGAGCTAAATTTACACTGAATTTTAAATACAAAACACATATTTTAAGTCGCAGCTAAAGACTTACAAGTACTAATGTAAGTGCTATCCGAAGAAAAGTGTTAGGTATGTCAGTGACTTGAAGATAAACCTTTTAGGGCGCCACCCAAACTCGTTATCAATTACACCTTAAAATGCATTAGAAATAACATGTTGAAATAAAGTAGATTTAACATCAAGAGTTTTCTCTTTGAGTCCCAAGCAATAAATTCGTTGATAACAAAATACATGTCAATACATTAAATTACTTACATCCAACATAATGAAGACTCTATGTGTCTATAGTATATGAAATTATTACAAAATATATATGTTGTTAAACAGAGTTCATTTTATATAAAATTTCAAGAATTATATATCTTTATTTGTTTTATTTACATATACATACATATATTTATACATACATAATATATACATATAATATATACTTGCAATGATGAGCAAATGATTGTCATTGATGAAGTAAAAACAACTGTTACTTTTTGATCATAAAAAAGACTACAAGAAAAATGCACATAAGTAAAATGTGACTTAATATTTTTAGGATTTAAGTAAACTCACGAAAGTATAACTAACACATTTTGGTTTACTTAATATTTTCCAAGTGACATTATTCTTTTAACGATTCCGTTTACGACTACATATTTCTTTATTTTTTATTTTTCACACAATTAACCGAACAATGTTACGAGTATAAAACATAACATAACATATCTTTACATCAAATTTATAACATCATAACGCTTTTATGTCCCTCCCGCTGTTGAATGCTATTAAAAAGACACTATGAAAAACTTATCAAAAACATATACGAAAAAATTTGTATAAAACACTAATAAATAGAACGCTTCGCATAACAAATTTTAAATAAGAATAATAGTATAATACATTAGAATTAACTCAACCTGCAACACATTTTATGGTTTGCCAATAAGTTAAAGGTTTATTGAGCAGCCTCGAGTACTGCTAACTACTTAAACGGATCCTACTCGTATATACGTACATGAGATAAGTCTCACGGGGTTGAAAGATATAAACAGGAATTGGCGTGAAATAATCAAAGCTATGTATATCACATTATAACTTAAGTTGTATGTTCATTAAGGTGAGCTTGGCCGAAGGAGCTTACATTAATCAGACGAGGTAATGCAGTCTGGCGCCCTAATGCGCTTTCGTTGTCAGTGATATTTACCCCCAACACTTCGCATCAATCTTTCACACAATGAATCCGCATATCGGATATCTATGAAACATTTCATAGATGAATCAACTCAACAATAACTTTATATATTATTAAATATTTATAAGAACATTAAAACATATTTGTATACTATAATACTCAAGATAATTTCAATATTTTTGTACATAATAAGGAAATTTATATAATTAAAAATAGGAAATCATCTTCTTACATATTCTAAAACGATGTTTAAAAAACCTATAATCAAGTTGTCCGGATGAAAGAAAGACATAATATTTCTAGACGGCTTTGCTAACATTCCAACGTGAGCCAAAAGATTCCCGAGATACCTCAATGAGATTTAAAGATGTCCCTACTAGACAGGTTTAAACATTTATCGTAATTTTGCGACAATTTAAGTTACACGGCATTTAAAATAACAGCCTATCTAAGAAGTTTTATTATGATACAATGTATTGCGAAAAGAGAAACTCGCCATACCAACGAACATAGCCTTAAGGTAAATAACAATTAGAAAACCTTACCCCATTAATATGTGTTCAAACATTTAGCATAACAATACATTAAAAATGACAATGAAATATATCATATTTAAAACTTCCATACATATACAGTATACAAAAGTTCAGACTCGATAAAAATAAGTATTTCTTATACGTCTCTACAACGGGCGAATAAAAGTACTACATCAAAAAAATACAGTGAATTAAAATGGCACTTAACTCTCGACGTTTGAAAGTCTTTAATCGATAAAACAAGACATTCGAATCGTATTCAGGGAAATGGTATCGCAGTAATTTATTATTTTGGTAAAACTTAATAAAAATCTTATCCCCCTTTATGGCTTAAAAACAATATTATTAAGCAAAATCCACCATTACTATAAAGAAGATGTCACCAAAACTTTATAGCTATATATATTTTTGGAACGATTGTTTGTATGTTTTAGTAATATGTTTTGAAAGGAGAAAAAGATGAACGGTATAAACTCCACCGACAATGCACACTAATAATTATAAATAATGAGACAAGCAATTGCAGTATCTTACGTTTATTTTGCTTAAACTTTGAAGTGTATTTATTAAATAATGGCATATGTTTTATTTTTAAATTGTTTAACTCTTGTCTTGCATATTAATGTAAAAATTATGTCGAGTTAAAATAAAATTAGAACGATTGTTATAACTATGTATTATTCCAATGTTACGAAGAATTAACAAAATTTCAAATCTTTTATATCCTTATCTATTATACTAATAAATTTCTTAGGTGTCAGAATATCGGACTATTAAAAATTCTTTACCATCTATGACTCATCTTGAAAACAATAAACCTAAAAAAAGTAATGAAGAAGTTTTAAAATAAATATCATGCAGGTTTTATGACTTTTTATGTTTTAAGTTATAACAGATTTGATTTCATAAGATTACTCAAGGTATCGAATACTTTTGAAATAAAATATATTTATGAAACGAAAATCTTTTTACGATAAAGCATATAAGAATTCTTATTTGAACTATTAATTACATTTTATAATGCGAAACAAATTACAAATGAAATTCATGTTTCACTTAATCTGTGGAAGGCTTCAGAACGAATGTTGAGATATCGTTGCGAGACGAAGCTTATCGTTAATTTAGAGTCTCCGATTAGAGCTCGCCATCCGACGTACGCTAACGAGCATTCGTTTTAATATTTTTTTTATTTTAGCAACAGTATGGTGCGGATGTTTTGTCTTCTACCGACGATTGTGCGAAGTTAATTGGATTGACCATTTTAAAATAAGTAAATGAAACCAATCCATAATCAAACCAATATGCCTTGTTGTCAACATCTGTTGAATTTTGTTTTATTTATACTGTTCTTATTCTACAAATATTATATATGATTAAAGGATTACCTTTGTGGTTGTGGATTGTAAGGGACTTCCTGATGATACAGCACAAATTTCCACTTCGTAACGATCGACACCAGCTTCTCTGTCCAATGAAACAGCAGTGGATAAAATGCCCAAGGACGAATCTATGTCAAATAACCTATCCACTTGTTTATTATCACCAGTCACATTCACTATATAGTATTCTAAACCACCTTTGTAATTGTTAGTCATGTTTAACACGGCAGTTCCGGCTGGTTCATTTTCAGCTACGGAAATAGATCCCACATTCGTCCACATAATACCTTCCAGTTCAGTTCCACCCATGATCACAGTTAAGTAAGTTTCAGTACTCCTCTGTTCACTTAGAACTGCTTCGTCAGTCGCTTTTATAACTAAATTCCATCTTACATCAGGCATTGATGGAGGATAACGTAAACTTAGCGCACCATTACTCCTATGAAGGTCAAACATGTCATTCCCTCCATGAATTAACTTATACGTTACTAGACCGTTAGTCCCGGAATCCAAATCTCTAGCCAAAACATTCATAATGAATTTGCCTCGACTCATACTTCTACCCAATCTTTCAGAGTTTATAACAGCGGCATTCATGGACACAAACACTGGGGCGTTATCATTAATATCTTCAACAATTACAGTTACCAATTTCTCGGAACACAATCTACTGGACGCCGGTTCAGCTTTATCACAAGCCACTACAGTTATTCTAAAGGTGTCAATGATTTCCCTGTCAATAGGCAATAAAGTGTATATAACGCCAGTGACATTATTAATTGCAAAATGTCTTTTGCCGTTACTGGGGTCTTGATGGGTGATTGAATAGTAAACTTTTCCATTCCATCCAGAATCGGGATCTTCTGCAGTAACAGTGACAATTGGAGTGTGCATAGGAATTCCTTCTCTAATTTGACGTACTATAGCTGTGTTCGTAAATATTGGAGCATTATCATTTGCATCTATAACAGTGACAGTAAATGTGACACTGGACGATAGACTTGGGTTTCCGTTATCAGTGGCCGTTATGTTTAAGACGTAAGATGTCAAATCTTCATAATCCAGATGCTTATGTAAAAATAACTCCCCTGAGTAACTGTCAATAAAAAATGTCTCTTTTCTATTTCCCGACGTAATTGAATATTGCAATTCATTATTTATTCCCAAATCGGCGTCATTGGCATGAAATTGAATAATTTTTTTATTTACAGGCTCTGTTTCAAGCACAGAAACATTCATTTGAGACTGTTCAAATACAGGTGCATTGTCATTCTCATCCAGAACATCTACCGTAATTGTTGCTGTTGAAGAAAGCCGAGTTTCTTGTCCCGAATCATGGGCTATAACTGTGAGTACGTAATGGTCTACACTTTCTCTGTCTAATGGCTTATTTATAAAAAGTTGTCCTGTAGCTTCATCAAGCATAAACTTTCCTAAATCATCGCCTCCTATCAGCTTATAATAAACGTCACCATTTAGTCCTTCATCGGCATCCGAAGAATAAACCCTCATGATTGAAGCACCGACAACAGCTCCTTCGGATACTTCCACAGCATACGGAGTACGTGTGAATATTGGTGAATTATCATTTACATCTGTGATGTATATGGTGACTCTAACAGAATCTGAAAGTTTTACTTTGCCATTATCACTCACAGTAACGGTTAACGTTATATAATTTTGACCACTATTCTGGGATAGACTTTCTCTGTCAAACGACTTCAATGTTTTAATAAATCCATTTCTCGAATCAATTCTGAAATCATTTTGAGCGATTGGTAAGCTGAAAGTTAGTTCTGCATTACGCCCGATATCTTTATCAGTAGCAGTTAATTTTCCCACGAAAGTGTCAGGCGGTTCATTTTCTTTTATTTTAAAAATAAAAGTAGTATTCGTGAACTGTGGACTATTGTCATTTTCGTCAAGAACGTGAATAACTACTGGGACTTGAGATGATCGTGACGGTTTCCCATGGTCTGATGCGACAATAGTTAAAGAATAATAATCCTTTTCTTCTCTGTCGAGAGGACTCTTAACATAAATGTATCCATCTGGAAATATCCCAAATTTTCCGTCTACATTTCCTTCTATGATTGAGTAGGATATTCTCCCATTTTGGCCTAAATCGGCATCTGAAGCTGATACGGCGAAAAATCTCTTATTTACAAGAGTAGATTCAAATAATGATGTTTCATAGGACGTGTGATCGAATACAGGGGTATGATCATTTACATCATCAATAATAGCTACTATCGAATGTTTTGTAGCTAAAACAGGTTTCCCACTATCAGAAGCAGTAACCTCAATAGATAGTGTTGTACCCGGTTCGTTTGTTACTGCTTTATTCAAATATATAACACCGGTCGTTTCGGATATTCTAAAAGTGTTGTCAGCATTATAACTTAAAGTATAAGTAACTGTTCTATTCGACCCAGAGTCATGATCTGTGGCCCTGGCGAAATAAACCTCATGTCCTACCGCCATGTTTTCAGGTAAATGTATTTCATCCTTGCCTTCAATGAAAATTGGATAATTATCATTTACATCCAATACTGAAATATTCATAGTAGTAAAACCAAAAGCTTGTCCACTTCTAGCCATTATTTTGAGATGGTATGTAGTTTTATCTTCACGGTCAAGATTAGACTCTGTAGTGACTATTCCAGATTTTTCGTCAATTTTAAAAATTTTCTTTGGATCGCCTTCTATAATATAATATGATATATTATCACTTATAGTTCTTGTTCCAACTTTTCCTACAATCCGGCCAGGACTTGATTTCAATAAGCCATCATCTTCAGTTATTTTAAAATTGTAACCATTATATCCGTCAAACTCTAAGTTTTTTCTATAAGAGACCTTAATAATATCAACTATAGCGTCTTCAACAGCCCTTCTATTTCCTTTATCTTTGCAAGACACTCTTAACGAATAAAGTGACTTGGGTGCTTTACGGAAATCTTTTTGTAATATTACATTCCCACTTTCAGGTTCCACATCAAAATAGCCTTCACCGCCACTTTCTAACTTGTATACTACTTTAGAATTGTCCCCCTCGTCAAGATCAAATGCATTTACCTGTAGAACCCTAGATCCTGGAGCCAAATCCTCTCTTATACTTTCGAAATATCTCTGAGGATATAATATTGGATCATTATCATTAACATCAATTACTTTTAAGAAAACTGTAGCTGTAGATGATTGTGGACGGTAACCTTGATCTTTTGCTATAACCTGTATCTCATAAAATGGAATTCTTTCTCTATCTAACTCTGTTACTGCGCTTAATTGACCAGTTATTGGATCCAGCATAAATGTGTTAGGATATTTCCTTTCAATATTTGATGACAAGTAATATGACACAGATCCATTTGTTCCTTGATCATAATCGGAAGCAGTTAAAATAAGAATTTCTTTTAAGGGTTTCACGTTTTCTGGAAGTGATGTATTAATTTGAAGTTGAGGAAAACTAGGTGCTTCATCATTTTCGTCTAATATAGTAATTTTTAGCCTTGTATATGCCCATTTAGGGTTTGGTCCACCATCACGGGCTGACACATTTAATTCGACAGTACCTTGGATCTCTCTATCTAAAACTGATCTAGTTGTTACTAGGCCCGTGTAGTGATCAATAAAAAACCATTGTTGTTGGTTACCGTCATAAAAATCATAAAAAATTTCAGCATTGACTCCCGTATCTTCATCTGTTGCAGTTATTCCAGCTACATATGTTCCAATGGGAGCCAATTCACTAAGAACAGTAGAGTACTCAGATTTTTCAAATACAGGTTCATGATCATTGACATCATTTACATGAATCACTAGGAACGAAGTAGCAGTACGTGGGGGCGTACCTTTATCAGTAGCTACCACAGTTAAATTATATTTACTTATTTCCTCTCTATCTAAAATACCATTAACATGTACTATGTACACACTGCTTGAATTTTCCAGTCTAAAATGATTTAATTCATTCCCCGCCACTATCTTAATGCTCGTTATTCCGTTGAGACCAGCATCTAAATCTGTTACAGTAATAGCGGCCACAAGTGATCCATTTTTAGCATTTTCATCCACTGTTGCGAAGTTAGCTGTCGATGGTACATAAGTAAAAGTGATAACTGGATCGTGATCGTTAGCATCAATCAAATTGACAGTTACATACGTTCTAGCATCTTGACGCGGTACTCCGTGGTCCTTTGCTATAACTGTTAGAACGCACGTCATATTACAAGTCGTGTTACTGCAATATTTTGGGCAACTCAACTTTTTTAATGTAGTTATAACACCGGACTCTGGGTCAACGGCGAACTGTTTCTCTGTATCGGTCACTTCGTAAGTAATTTTACTATTATCACCCAAATCACTATCCGTTGCGGTCACTTTAAGGACAGTAGTTCCGGGAGGGACACTCTCATTAAGTGACACTGAAAAATCGCTTTGATCAAATATAGGAGGGTTATCGTTTACATCTAAAATTGAAACGTTCACTTGAAGATACCCATACTTCGGAGGACTGCCACCGTCACGTGCAGAGATATTTAATATGTAAAAATCATTTGTTTCTCTGTCTAATTTTCCTGTAGTTTCTAAATGTAAATATGAAGTTTGTCCACTAGGATTTACGGTGACGTTCAATCTAAACTTTCCTTCATTATCACCATCCACTATTCTATAATCGTTGGCAATTCCATTTTCACCTAAATCCTTGTCAGTGGCCGCGTCTAATAACAACTTAGTCCCGGGAGCCGCGCTCTCTGAAAACGCCACAGCGATCACCGGTTCCGGGAACTCTGGGGAGTTATCATTGACATCAGTAACTCTGAGGCGCACCTCGATAGGATACGTCGGCTGGCTCGATAGAACAACAAAAGCATAACGATCAACACTCTCCCGGTCAAGGATCACATTAGTTCTGATATCACCAGACACAGGATCTAGGACGAATTCCTTTGGTGGTTCATTAAAGCGGTACGTGAAACCGGGTTTAGTAGGTATTCTGCCGACATTGGTCCCAATAGGTTGTGATTCGGGCACACGGAGGTCTACGCCGGTGTCCACGGCGCGGGACTGCATCTGTTCGGCGGCGGCGCCAGCGCCCGCGCGCGTCAGCAGCGCCAGCGCGACCAGCACCACGTGCCACCGCCCCATCACGGTCATGACGCTGACAACAACATTATAGAACAGTCCTTCTTCAACAGTAATGTCACAACAATGTTTAATATCCCGTCCGCGCAGACTGGCGCTCTCGCCTCAGGTATGCAACATGGCCGCTACCAGCGCATGAATATCTCACAGTACAGCCTACACCGTCACATTCGTAAACACACGTGACACTAACCGAACAATACAAAAATAAGTTTATATGAACATAATCACTGAACGTTTATATATAAAAAATATGTTAACGAGAACACAGTTGAGAACGCAAAATATAATGTGTAGAGTGTGGTTACAGAGCTAGCAGCCTTCGAGTCGGCCGCTCGACACGGTACTAGCGGGCGGAGGCTTCTCGCCGCCCCGCGACCTCCGCCCGACACTCCCCGCAGCTTTAAAGCTCCGGCCGCAGTTGGGACGATGATGCCGAGATAATGGCCGCCCAAGGAATCTAGTATTTATTACCTGAGTGTTGCTAACCATTAACTATTAAAAAGGATGCTATATTTATACGATTTTATGATCTAACGTACTTTATACAAATATTAATGTTATTATAATTTGATGATATATAAAAAAATATATCGTCACTCTAAATATTATTATTCCCCATAATATAATTGTTACAAATATACGTATATTTGAATAATTTTATTTAACATTATTTCGTAAACACCTAAAAAAAAGCTACAGGAGCGCGTTGATATCTTTTGTTTGGTGTTTCGGAACAGACCAGCTACCGTTAATGTAATTTTATACTAACTACCTAAAACGTTGTTTACATGAAACATATAACATTTATATGAAAAAAAACTAAGTATCTAAGTACATTATAAATAATTTACTGCTTAAATCTATTTCAGTTAATCTAAAATATAAATCAAAATTACTTGACAATTAATAATATACAGGTTTTTTCTCGTCTAATATAATATATAATTATTTTCAACGTTGTAACAAAAAAATTATATAAATTAAAATCACAAAATATGTCCCTGAGCATTTGATACTTCATTTATTATAACGTAAAGCAAATATATTAATATTTTCAACAAAAAATATATACATATTAGTATAATATATATTGGTAAATTAATGTATAAGTCACTCAGGCTCCATCTATCCGAAGAGCATATAGATACGAGTTAGAACAGCGTTCTCGCAAACGAGTAAGTTTTCACAAAGACGCAACAGACCTACAGATTCCAAAATATTTCAACAGATGGCGCTGTCATTAAATTATTGTAACAAGCTTTTTATTATTAATACTTATATTAAACACTAAATATATTTACTAAAGATCAAGTTTATATATGTATATATATTTATGTATATATATGTAATATAATACTATCACTTTTATTCATACTGATCAAGTTATAAGTGCCTATATTTGAAGATGTATTTTGGTTAAAACAAATTCTATTTTATATTATGTAAAGATATTATATAGTTGGTATAAAGACAGTCTAATTTCAGCTTCTAGAATAGGGTCTGAATGCGATGCCAGTTTAAAAATAGCTCGCTGCGGCTATACTTCTATCGAGCACTTGTTGCTTGAGCTGTTTGACGTCACTTCCCCCCCCTGGGGGGGCCGCGCCCCCTGCTGGGATGTGGGTGTTGACGTAGAGACCCACACTCATGAATGGAAGACTCCTAAACTGCTGACTAGCCTTTCATACGGAATACAATTTTACGTATTACGTCATCATACATTTCCATGTAAAAGTATAGTCATTTCTAAGATAGATAACGATCTTGATTTAATATTGAAATAACTGGAACTGTTTATTTTTATGGACTCATAGAATAAAGAGCCATAGTGAATATTTAAATGAATACTTGTTTAACTATTTTAAAGTATATCCTAAACGTAATCTTTTGTTGAATTTATTTTTAATGATAATAATGTCTTGACTAATTTATCAATGATATCTAAATATCCAGACTTATGCAATAAGGAACGAACACAATAGTATTCCAAGTATACTAAACTCATAAAGGATTCTATAAAAAACCTTCTTTATATAAAATTCTGTTAGCAATCCTTTGTCTCAGTGTACAGTAACGTAATATTGAAGGAACACACGTGGAGCAAAACAAATCAGTCGCTGTTTGTAATCTACAGACTGAAAGAAGCATCTACGGCGTAAATCAATTTCTATAAATAGCCACCGCCCACATACACTGCAAAGCTTTGTCACAACGAGACACTCATAAACGAGGTTTTTTTCATTCATTTCTTGCATTGCAATTGAAAAATCATCAGACTGTAAAGATTAAAATGCTTTGTCTCATCTTGAGACGATTTAAAATAACGATATTGGTAAATTTAAATCTATTTCCTGACTCATTAGAAAATTACTATAGATATTTCATACATTAATTTATTTAGTTTCATTAAATAAATCCTTTATATTGTTAAATTTATTACGTAAATCATGCGTTAGTAAATGCAATTTATGTCTTCAAATGAAGCTAACGTTCCAAGAAGTATGCGTCGTTACACGAAGACTTTGTACAGAGATAATACGTTTGACAGTTATTATTTTACACCAGGACTTTACATGACTCATGACATTACATCAGGTTGACAGGTGACATGACTCATGACATTAGATTAGGTTGAGAGAAAACACTAAAAAATTACATGATTATAATTGAATAATAGAGTTATATAATATTATGAAAATACTTTATATAACAATTGTAGTGTCTTGAACAGAAGGACGAAGCGATTTGATAGGCGAACTAAAAATAGCTCTGCCTTTAGTACTAGTATTCTTTGTGTACTCAAACACAGACGGTTTCAATTTTAGTCAGTAATAAATCATGTTACATTGGTATCGCAGGCGATTTATGAATGGAAAACTCTCAACTTGTTTGTATTGAGTTGACGATGGAAAATTATATAAGGGTATTAATTGATACTTATATATATTTAAATAAGGATTATTTTCGAATTCCAAATAATAATATACCTTACATAATATTATCTATTATTAGAGTGTGGAACTGATTTGTATGCATCTAGTAGCTATAGGGTATTACGCTAAAAAATATCCTTCAACATGAATACACGTGCAAGTCTTATGTATGTGCCCTAGTTTGAATATTTATTTGTATTTCTATTTATAATAGACGAAAATACAATAATATTTACGATATAATAATGATTATTGATTGTTTAAATTTGTATTATATTAATTGTTCAGGAAGATTTTTAAGCAAAGTATTTCATGGCTATTTAAATTCGTCGTTTAATTTGACTACACTAGTTTGACATTTGATGATTTGACTTATTTATACCGAATTTTAGTAGATATGAATAGACTATATAAAGAAATTTAAATGAAACTAATATTTTTTGCATGTACTTCGCGTTTTTTTATTTTTGATTATAAACTATATACTCCCGACGTTTCGATTGTATCCGCCGTGATCACGGTTGCTGTAAATTAAAAAATAAATGGCGTAGTATATCCGAAAAATATTAGTTTCATTTATATTAATACTCACGAAAATCTTAGATGTTATAAAAAGAAATGTTTTATTGAACCGAAATTATGTAGAACGCCCGTTGAAATCCAGACCTAAACCGCGCAGGTTAGGTATACATACCTAGGTCCAAATCCTAGATATTGACTTGCAACGACGACATTTTGGCGCCGGTCGGTCATTGACCTCTTATTTGTGACTTCCTCTACCAAAACTGACATTGCATTTCAACTGCACTTACACCGCCATTATCCCCGACCTACCCCATTTTAGAGCTCAGAGTCAAAAATTATCTGTCGATTTTATGGTATAACATTCTGTAATATTTAAGTTATTATTTGTAAATGAAAACATTTATTTAACTCTTTTTTTTTTAATAAAAATCGTGCTGAATGGAAGAAATCGGTTTTGTTTTGTTTTTTTCCCATAGTTATTTAGTAATTAGTATCATTAATAAAAAAATATATAAAAAAAGTTTAGCTTTTAAATTCGATTGATATCTTCCTTTGTGTACTATTAATTATAATTTTAATCAATTGGAAAAAATAACCTCAAGAATAAAAAAAAATACAGTACCCTTATAATGAGTTTCAATGGAAAAACTAAAGTCACTTAGTTCCCAATTACAATTCATAAATCTTTACTCGTGATAGTATCAACTTATACTAAGATATAAGAAAAAAACTTAAAACTTCGAGTATTTAGTATAAACATGCAAAACGTGTGTTCAGTAAAATAGTACGCAAGCACGTCGATCTATTTTCTAATCATAGAAAAAATATGAAAGAAATAAGAAATATAAAAATGAAACCATTTGTATTGCATTTCCAATGAAAAGTACTAATTTTCTATTAAATATCAGTATTTAAATTAAGTCTACACACAAACGCAACGTAACTGTAACTCATGTTAGTACTGTGTGAATTCAAAAGGGCAAAGGTTATAGTCTAAATGACAAAGTTCGATAGATATACACGTATGGGCTATAAATGAAATTATTTCTCATTCATACACTACATTTATTTAGCCTATATTAATTTAAAATTGTCACTTATAAAAAAAATAATAATATTTATTTGAAATAAATAAAGTCAACCCATATTATATACATCTAATGGATAAAGGGAAAATTCATTTCATTTGAAAAAAAGCAGAAATACATCAAGTTAATGAATTTTGGTTTCCTTGAAACACTTCAAACGATATTAACCAATTACTCTTTTGTACTGTGATCGTTTTGACGTAAATTTTTAACGCTAATTCAGGATTTTCGACTAATCTTTGAAAATTACGTTTATTTATATAGATTGACGCACTGTTAATTATATTTTTAATACTAGTACAAGTATCTTCAGTAGTTTATTAGCAGAAACCATAATATGATAATTGACAAATATATTTTCAATTTTATAATTATTATTAATTATTAATGTTTGTTATTAATACACAATGTATTGTTATTAAAATTATCTACGGAATAATTCCAGAAATCAAATATAAAACTTTTAAATTATAATTGAAAAAAAACAAATTTATCATTACATACTTACATACTTTTCATAGCGCTTTGAAGTTCAGCTTAATAGAAAAATATTACGAAAAACAAACGGTATGATAAAGTTAAAAAGTAATTTATAAGTCAAAAGTAGAAACATTTTAACATAACAAAGAGAAGCATTACATTTTCAGTTTAATATATAAACTTTCTGAATTGCAAAATAGCCTTTCAACGAATTTTAAATGTATGTTCGAAGGTTTCGGCCTTAGTTAAAATTCTATCCGTGGAAACAGGAGCCTTATAAACGAGACTGTAAACTTCCATGTCTCCAGTAAATGAATGGGATTGTTTGCGTCAAGCCCGTGCTATATTACTATATTTATGAGCTACATTCAATGCATAGACTGTACGCCTACACGTTACAGGTACAGCTTCTGAGAAATCCCATCCCATGTCATATGTAGGCGTTTTAATATTATACATGTTTAGCTTATAATATTATCATATAGCTTTAAAAATTAGTTTCAGGGATTCGTAATAATAAGTGTCAAATAATTTCGATAATGAATCAAAATGTATGTTGATGAAGTCATTGCATGAGTATTGAGTATGTTTTTCAGTGTATCGTACGAAAAAACAGTGAGTGATACGTTGAAAAGATGAATAATCTGTGGGCGCGATCGATAGTCGAATGCGGGGGCTGTGTGGAGTATGGGGCGAGCCTCGGAGGGTGCAAGGGAGATTCATTCAGAATGTGTGGGCGGCGCGTGGGCGACTAGCTTATAAAGACCCTCGGCTCGCCCTGTCGTCATAGTTGTGCCCGAAACCCCGTAACAGACAGTACTGTGTAAAAATGTGCAACATTCTCTCCGGATCAAGGTGAGCTTATAATTTTATATCACTATAATAGTGCTATTAAATTATTATTTAGATTCTCCGGTTTTTGTTTCTGTGAAAAAAAATTATCGATGCTTGATGTTAAAAATATAGGAGTAGGTACTTATATTTTTTATATAAATAGAAAATATTCAGAATATAAAATTATATAAATAAAAATTATTTCATTGTTCGTAGGATGTGGGTGGTATTGTTATGCTATTTATTAGCACAAGCAAAGACCTACCCTTTACAAGGATGGCCTGTATATCCTCAGGCTTCACGGGAATATCCTGAAGATGATTACTATTATGCTCCTAAAGTACAATACTACTATGACGCTCCAGCTATAAATGTACCTGAAGTATACGGTCAAGTTCCCTACACTTACTTTTATGATCCATATGGTCATTTCGCAAATGAGGAGCCAAAACGGCAAGAAGAAAGACTCGCTGCGTTACCTATAGGCCAGGAGACGTGGTTTGAAAGCGATTCGAACCCGCGATGGAGATCTAACAATATGGATGACGTCAATGCCGCTTTCTTAGATAACTTAATTTTGACTCAAATGGCTCAAGATGCTCAAAGACGGCGCGAAAACGCCCGTGCCGCATTTTCTAATATGGAATACGAGGAAAAAGAAAACGAAGACGAAGATGTCAGAGAACTAAAAGCATTGGCTGGAAAACCTCTTTACCACGTCCCGAAAACTGTCCCTAGAATAGAAGATGATGATTACGTTGATGATGATCCTGATAGCTTTATCAACTGGAACGGAAATAAGAGAAGTCTCACTACTACCGAAAGCTCAACCACTACGGAAACACCAAAATCTGGTCAAAAGGAAGTTCTTATGTTGCGTCCGGCGGTGCAACACAGCCGTCAAAGAAATCAAGATAAAGAAAACAACAAAAAGACACCATTCTACAACACAATCACGCAGTACTTAGAAAAACAAGGACATGTAAGTTATTTTTTATATTATATATAGTTGTAAAAGTTTTATCTTTTGCTCAATGTAATATATACTACGTTCTATATGGATCGTGAAACCCCGAAGTCTAAAAATAGCTTGGCCGGGTTGGGGGCGGTGGGTGACACGATCTGAGGTCGGGTCAATGGAGAGAGGGGTATGCGGGGCAACAATATCAGCAGGAATCATCGCCTCAGCTAACCTACTTAATATAACATGAATGAAATATATTCCAACTATAATATTTATTTACAGAAAATATCGAAAGGACGCAAAATTGAGAAACGCTTCGTCTCATCCGACTCCGATCTAGTTGTTGAGCTTCGAGGATTGAAACATCGCATCGCCACTTAAACTATTGCAACTGATTACCGCCAACTATTATGAGACTGAGTATTATTTTAGAATATAGAATACTTACGGCATCCGCTCCCTTGAATTCAGTTTGAGAGGCATACAAAATACAAAAAAAAATATAAAAAAAATATAATTCCATCATTATATCCGTAAATCATGTGTGAATTAAATAGTGTCATCATTTTGATCATTGTGTAACCACTTAAATTAATTCGCATCTCGCGTTATATGTCTCTTTAAAGGTTCATAATTAATGGCTATAATTCTACAAAAGTACTCGATTTAATACGTAAGTATATCAGATCTTAGATCCTTTTTGATTCTTTATTAGTAGGTATTAAAAAATATCCTATATATACGAGTGTAAACTGTCGTACAAAATGTGACTATAATCACGTTTCCTGATGTTTGATGTTTGAATAATATGAGAAAGATAGTTTTTTAAATAGGTCTCCTTAAGGTTCCCTTCATTTGGCAGCTAATGTCGCACAAATCTGTGCAATTGTAAATATAATATTGTTAAGTATCCTTCTTCTAAGACTTAGATAGAGAAAGAAATACATTGAAATGTTTACTTTTGTAAATTATTTTACAAGTTTTTGAATAATACTTTTGTTAAAAACGAAAACATAACAACAAATGTATTATAAAAAAACAGGTTTTGGTATATAACCAAAACAAATTGACTTAGTGAGATCTGTTTCATGTTTTAAATAAACTTTGAATATACAAACAAAATGCAATAAAAAATAAGTATTCAACAACGCTCATTCTAAACTTTTCTAAATCTATACTATTTTTTTCTTTTCTTGGTAATTTTTGTATCAGGTGCTACTTTTTTTTTCTTACGGACTAAGCAGACAATAGCGTTAAATCTTTTTGCAAAGCAAAAGTATGGAGATATAGTATACTTTAATAACTAAGAAGGAAATGATTCTCTAGGCTGGAAGAGGATTAGGTGATATTTTAGCTTTACAGCTTCTTAACTAATGTTTATAACAGTCGGTCTATGAGACCCTTGTTAAAATTTATACGAACCGCGCCATTTTATGGTTTGTATAAAAATACTTCTTGTACTATATTATTTTTTAATGTTCCCCGATCGTGTTTCCTATTTTTCATAATAAACGAAGCATAACTGTTAACATCTTATCCTTTTTATAATATATTTTGTAATTCATCCTAAAGTTAATAAAATTTATCTTTCTGAAGTACATATCTGTTTATAATAATGTCAAATTAATTTTCATTGGTAAGATAACATTAATTCCATAATAGTAAAATTATTGTCAACGACGCATGATTTCTTTGTACGTAAACACTTACGAGTCAATGTTTAACATTCATAAATAATACCCATTAGATAGAAAACATGTAAAATTTAAATTGAAAATGAGCCTAATTAGGTAATTTCTGGCTCAATATCACTCAACATACCCACATCCATATATATTTTAGAGAAAATGTATTAGGGTATTATTTTGTCCTATTTAAATTAAATGAAATGTGTAACTAAATATGGATACATGTAAATTATTAGAGAAGTATTAAAATATTTGTATCCTCAAAAAAAATATATAAAAAAAAATAATAAAATATATTCAATATACTGATGTTTTATTTTCAACAATATTTTGTTTCATTGAGACAAATTTATAATTAATTACAAGGATCTTTCTGAGTACATACACGTGCAATATTGCCACGTGTTCTCGAAATCACATATAATACACAAAGTTTTCGATTCTGATTTACATTATGTTGATTATCAACACGATTTATGAATGAAATACTGGGAACTCAACGTGTTCATTTTGCACGTTTCCCGAGTTCTTTACGATGATGCGAGTTGCAAGTAGTAGTCATTCCAACATTTTAAAGAAAAAGATATGTGAAATCCTTTAATGATTCCACAGATGTAATTCGGTACATATAACTTAATCCAGATATCGATCTGTTTTTTAATAGTTGGTATTTATTAATACCTTATCTGTCTCCGCCCCATTTTTTGTATGTAGGCAGACAGTCAATATATCAAATAATATTTTTTGAAAACGGAGGTATGGTCTGTAAAGTCGAACGATAAAAATTCTCCGTTACTCGTTTTCATAAATCTTCTCTTAAAGATTGTATGAAATCAGCGCGAATACCACAAATAGTTCAAGGAATATCTTTGGTTTACTTGGAGTATTCCAAATCTTAAACATTTTATTATTATTTTAATATAGTTATTATTTTAATAATAATTGCGTATTTAAATTTGTTTTACTACCACTAGAATAGTCTACGATTTTTAGTTAAGCTATTTGACGTACTTCTTTTCGAGATATTAAAGCATTTTTCAAAAGCTGCAATTCGAGTTCTAGACAAAGTTTATGCTCGTCGTTCAACATCCTAACTCTCTACAATTGCTTTAATTCAAACAGTTCCTTAAATTCGTTGTAAGGACCTGGCTCTCCGGCGGGGAATCGAACCCCGGTCTCCCGCGTGACAGGCGGGGATACTGACCACTATACTACCGAAGATATCATCACGACTGACGAAGATCTTACATTCACTCTATTGTCATGTAAACGGGAGTGAAAGCAGACAATAATTGTAAGAATTAATGTCCACGATATCTTTTTATCAGAATGAAGCAGGTGTCGGGTACCGTACGCCGTACGAGACAGTTATCCGTACACCGAGACGCATCAGAGTAAAATGCGTCATTTACTTCTACAGCGAAGTATTTCAACTGATAATAATCATCAAACCGGAACGCATTCCAACATTAAATATTTGTATATAAGATAATTAAAATCAATGTAAATCCGTTGGGTTCGTGAAAGTCCGTTCCTCAATATTGATGGTTGAACTCAGATATGGACAACCGTCCAGTGCGGTTTTTGAATTTCGTTACTTTATATTCCCAAAGGATATCGTTAACTGACTTCTGAAATCGTGTTCTTTAATATTTTAAAGTGAAGTAATTATTGTAAAATATTATTACATTTTTATTTATTGTAATGTGGGTACTCAATAAAAAAAGAAGACACTTGTCGCATATGATATTGAAAATATGAGCTTAAATAGAAAATATATACTTACAGCTTTGGGAGATCGTTTTGGTAGACTGTACCTGTCCAGACTGGAACCTCGTGACGAATACTCACTGTCACACGAACTTTTTTCCCAGTCCATGACGTTCGAAGGGAGACAAATATTTAAATATTAACACTTTTCAATACGAACACTTTAAAGACTGTAATAATTATAACTACTAATAAGTATTCTTAAAAACTGGACTACTGCTCGCTCTGAAAGACGACGTTCTATCTAGCAATGACAAAATAATTTATGACTAAGTTCTCATTATTCTTTTGTTGAGCATGTTTCCTTACACTCTTTTTTTTTAGAATATTTAATTGCCTAAAGAGCTCTAACTTTTAAGAATTGTATACCGAAAATTCAAACATAAATGTATTTAATATCAAATTAGCCCGATCATTTTATTTGGAGAAATTTTTCCTATCACTCATTTATTTAACATGTCTATTGACGTATAGTCATTACTTTGTGTTGTCAAATTCAAGGTTTGATGTACAAAAATAAGGAATAAAATATTCACTTTAACAGCAATAAAATGATAGAACCTATTAGATATTAACGATCTTCGAGATTGTATGCCCTTAATATTTTTCCGATCGAATTTCATATACTTAAATACGTAACAATATAAAATTTAAGATATATAAAAGAAACTTTAAAATTGTTCCTTTTAATTTGTAGCTTTTCCTTTAATTATTAATCTAATAAGTAAACATCAATGCGTAAATAAAACATATTATTAAAATGATTATTTTTAATGTATGGGACAATTTTTATTACCATACCTTTAAGAATGCAGAATGCCCATTAGAAAATATAAAGTAAAAGTTAAAAGGTACATGATTATTTTCTAAAACTCTTTATAATTTTTTTGTTATACCAGCAGCAAGCACTTTAGATAACAGTGTAATAAAAGTTTTAGGGTTAATATCAACTTAATACGCCCTATTTAGGCATCGCATGTTTATCTTCTAATATAGACAGAGTATACGTTTTTATCTATCACTTATAAAGATAAAAATTGCTTAAATACGTCACTTTTCATATAACTCATAGGAATTTAATGATCCCCAAATCAGCATACCTTAAATCTTCTTTATTTGTAACAATATCTCAATAAATTAAATTAATAACTCAGAAAATAGAACCAAATGTACCTAAATTTAACATTAGAAATGAAAAATGACGTAACTTTTGTCCATTATTCAGTTTAATTTATAAACATAAATAAACTTTATACATAAGAAATGAAAGGAATTTTATTAAAATAGATAATATTTCTAAGAAAATATTACGTAAAATAACAATATTATGGATAATTTCGTAGTATAACGAATGAGGTAGCTGACTGCGCGTAACGAACTCCAATCAGTGTGAACTAGAACACTCCTGTATTCTTTTTCTTAGTTGGTATCGTCACGCTACAAACGGCGACTTTATAGTTTTTCATTCATAAATATTCACACATCATAGTATTAAAATAAATAAGTTATTGAACGATTTGTTACGTACGCGCTACATATTACAAAATAAATGAACATTGCCAGGACGAAATCGTTGTATGGACAAAATATCATGTTACGAGTGACGCTGCTGACTCCGCGGAACGAACACCAAGCCGTGTGAACCAGAAGATTCCTGATACCACACAAGCTATGGAATGGGATTGTTATCCTAACATCGGTTCAATCATGTAGTCTTAGGTATAGGTTATAAGTTTTAACATGTAATTCTTATTATAATATACATATGTACAAGTAAATTGCGTAGTTTTCCTGGAACCTCCAGCCACCCTATATAGTTGATTCATATATGTACGTATGTAGTGACGATACAAACTTGATATATACAAACAATTTGAAAATGTTGACTTTTAGTTTAAGATAAGCAAGTCATAAGTTATAAGGTTGGTAAAGGAGATTTTTATTATAATATACATATATTTCAATTTCATCATTTTCTTAATGTCATGACCCGCACCTTATAAATATGAAATATCGATTTCTTTGTTATTTATAACATACCAGTTTCAATTACTGATAGGAACTGATAGAACATGAATATAAGAAGAATATTTCTATTTTATTTTAGTCCCTCATTATAAATTTAGGGGAGAGAGTTGATGTCAGGCAGGCGGCCGTTCGTAAAAATAATGAGCCAAAACTATTTACAACATGTAAGGCAGATCCTGGATAAAGCTGGGGAATTGCCAGGAAGAAGAAGAAGACAATACAAGACAGTTTAAAGTCAAATTTAATATCCAATTACTATTTCAGTACATACATATATTGATTTTTCTTAAAATACAATCACACAGTAATCTTTATTATATGTATCTGAAACCAACGATGCCTAAGTACTAAAAAATATCTACTAATTCATTTATATTATTCTGTTGCTTATCATTTTTATTATACTATTTTATATAAAAAAAAAAGATTTCGAGAAAATTCTAAATCGATTTCCTCAATAAAAATACAGATTATAAATACGAAGCTCAGTCTTCGGACCTTTGTTAAAACAACCTTTTCCTTTTACTTTTGGGGTATTTTTTATTTTCTCTTTAATCTTAAGTAAGTACTTCGATTTCCAATATTTTACATGAATATATTTTTATGAATATTCCGTAATTTATGAAATGCTGAACTTGTTCTTATTTATGAAAACCAGCCGAAAATATCTCTAAATAAATTAATATCATAACAGAATTTATTCAAAACCCTAATTAAGCGTAACAACAATTTTCTTTACAAATGACTCGTAGGTGTATTTATTACGGCTGAAATAAATAGAAACTGTTTCTTAGAGAAAATGGTAAATATTCATTAAACTGAGAGCAAATGTATATATTTAACCTTTAACCTTTGCTTAGAAAGGCAATTTCATAAGACAACGCCTACACGGTGTCTTGCTTTCGTCCTTTTAAGGTTAGCTACTCAATAACTGAAGAAGCCGGATGAATTTTGATAATTTTAGAAACAAAACACTAAATTCAATAAAAAAAAAGTAAAGTAAATTTATAATAAATATATGTACATATATCGTTTATAATACATCCTAAAAGACATATTAAAAAAAAATCTTTTTGAGAATAAGAATATCACTAGTACCAAAAAATATAATAAGAAGAATTTCTCAAAAGACTTACTTTATATTAATATTTTAGCGTATGTCTACATCGTTACACAAGTTATACTATAAGTGCAAAGATTTATGAATGAATATCATATAACGATATCATATTCATATGAATAATTAAAAAAGTTGATACAAAATTAAAAGCGTTGCTAAAAATATATAACCTTCATACTTTAACTTATAGTGTTTAGAAGTACAATAATATTGATAAAAAACGGTTCGTACCATTAAATTTCGAGACACGAAACAGTGTGACGTGAAAGCTAATTTTAAAATAATTGGTACCTACATAAATTTATTCTATTATTGTACGTCAGGAAAATTCTTTATTACCCAATATTTAATGAAACCAAAATATTAATTAATCACTCTGACAATTTTCACCTTTTTTTTACATCTTGCAATTAATACATTTCTTTTGATATACACAAATCGATTTCGTATGTTTTATAACGTTCCAAAATACAAAGAGTTTTGAAGTTATTCATCAATAGATAGCGTTACATTTATGTTTACCATGTATTTTAAATAAAATTAAAAATAACAAAACACCAAAATTAATCTTAAGCCAAGTGGCTTCAAAAAACAAATATCTTTATCTCATTAAATTATAAATTTAATACCCAGTATGATTTTCAAAAATAAGTCTATTATAAAATACCTAAGTTAATATTATCATGTGTGAAGATATATGTTTTGTCAGAGTATACAGCCCCCTTATAGGTGTACCGAATGCCCATATGTTTAATTGCATTACTTCTATGAAAGTTTTTGATAAAAAGATAAAACTTTGAATATTTATTTATCTTATCTTCTTTGAGTTAACTTCAGTAAGACAATTGTGATGCCAAAATTCTACGTATGTTTGGTGTGCATATACAAAAAAGAATTGTATTATAAGTGGTGTGCTTACGACAGTCATTATTAACCAGATATTCTTTGTCCTATTATTGATAACACTAGTATGTTCGTATATTTAAGTGTCACGATTATCATCATCACGACTTCTACAAATAGAATAAAGCCTTCTTTTTATAAAAGCATATTTTACAGGATGTTTATATATAAGAATTTATAAGAATTTACTGAAGAAACAAAAAATATTTAACAATGATAAAATTTAATGAATTCGAATTATCATATATTGTCATAATTGTAAAAGCTTCATTTTATGCTTTGAGAAGTATTCAACTGAAAAATTCAAAGACTAATGATCATTAAAGGTGTACTGCTGAATCGAAAACCAAATGATATTTGCCAAAATTATAAAATATAAGATATTTCGAAATCTATCTAATAATCTAATAACTAGCGATCTATAGTAATACTTCGAAGTGACGAGGTTGGTATTTTTTTACTAAACTTCTTAAGTTAAAGAAACCTTAAAAAAACTTTTTTGTCCCCCCTTTTTTCAGTCTACTGTATATAATATAGCTGATTGAGAGCCCAAATCGTCTCTAGACGACATCGCCCGCGCTAACATAACTTATTAATTCTTATTTCTAAATAATGAAGCGTAATTCAAAAGTCAATATGAATTACTAAGATCCATAACGATATAGGAAGGAGTTAATAATAAAATACATATTTACTAAAGAATAAAATAAAATTTTGATCATGTATCTTTCATAGACGCACCAGGTAGGTTAATTTTTTATACACACTAAAATAATTTTTATTGCTTTCCATTCCGATTTATATAAACAATGTCACATTAGTAAAGATTTATGGATATGCAGAAAGAGTTATTGTTAGTAGATGTTGATTCATTTTCAGTCATTATTGTAAAAAATTTCGTTAAGTTATATTATGTACATTACATTATTAGAAATAATAGTAATTTTGAACGTAGCATGAGTGCTGTAAATATCAATTTCAAAAACAATGAAGTTGTCAATTTGACGACTTCAAACGTCAGAAATCAAAACATTTTATACAAGTTTCAAATTCAAAACAAAAACAACTAAAATATTATTTTTTTATATTTAATGTTTTTAATTTACTCTTATTTATTATATTTGCAATAAGATAATTAGGGAACATGTAAAATATTGCCTAAGGAAATCGTATATAATAGTAACAGTTACTTAGTTTCCCGTTATTCGTAGCATACCACGTCAGTATTAAATCGCTCAAGTAAATCATAGGATGCGTAGATCTAAAGGATACCAAGATCTTGATGAAAATGTTGGTGATGGACGTCAACCGGCGCCTCCAATGCCGCCTCCTCAGGAAATCGAGATGGCATCGGTTTCCGTCGTTCCTGACGGTAAGTAATATAAAACATTATCCGTTTGTCTAATTTTACTATTTTATAAATGTTCAAAAAATATCTTCCTTACTTTTTGTTGTTTCTCTTGTAACTGCACTGACTAGGGATACCATTTGATCAGGCAAAGATGTGGTAAAATTATTAACTGTACCAGCATCTCTATTTTCTTAAAATGTTTAAGTTAAAAAGAAAATACGACCATAATTTCTATATATCAATTAGCATAAGATTAACATATCCCTATTCATGCTTTCAGATACATTCACAGTCACTCAGGCGGTGAATGCTCTAGGTTTTGGTTGGTTTCAAGTCAAGCTGTCCTTGTATACTGGCCTCTGTTGGATGGCAGATTCTATGGAGATGACTATATTGAGTATTTTATCACCTGCCCTGCATTGTGAATGGAATATTAGCAAGTAGGTATATGTTATTGAAAATAGTCCGATTAAGTAGCCTCACTATGTATACCTTGAATATAGAATTATGATCCTTCTAGGTACCAGCAAGCCCTTACAACAACAGTTGTTTTCATGGGAATGATGCTGAGTTCGACTTTCTGGGGAAATATAAGTGATCGTTACGGCAGAAAAACCGTAAGCATGTTTAAAAACAAAATATATATAGAATTTTATTAAAAATGTTTAACAATATTATATGCCTGGTATTTCCTCTTGCAGGCACTAAGTATGTGTGGTGTTCTTTTGTTTTATTATGGACTCTTAAGTGCAATAGCTCCAAATTTCCTATGGTTATTATTTTTAAGAGGTCTAGTCGGTTTTGCAATAGGATGTGTACCACAATCGTAAGTACATATATAATAATATACTATGTAGATATAATATATAAATGAAATATTTGTAAACAAAACAATTACTTTTATTTCAGAGTGACTTTATATGCAGAATTTTTACCCACAAAACAAAGAGCAAAATGTGTTGTGCTTTTAGATGTAAGTATTAACTACTTTGAAAATTATAGACATAAATAAAACATCTTGTAAATATGCTATTACCTATATTATTATGTTACAATTGCATAAGATTTTGTTTTTTATATTAGAAAGATAGAAGAGAGTTATAAGTTAATTTTTAAAATCATATATATTTATGATACACTAGAAATAATATGATTTGAAGTTCTTATAATTTTGTATGTATGTACAAACATAGATGAATTATTATTGATGGCAAAATTTTGTCAATACCATTTCAGTGTTTCTGGGCCCTCGGAGCTTGTTTGGAAGTGGCTTTGGCATTGGTTGTGATGCCAACATTAGGTGTGCATTGGCTTCTGGCATTATCTACTGTACCATTGCTCATATTTGCTCTTATATGTCCGGTAAGTTATGTAGATATATGTACTAATTTTGTCTACTCTATAGATTTTATATCTATGAAATAATATTAAATACACATAGATATATAGTTATAGATGAATTTTGACTAATATTAACGAATTTTTACAGTCTATCTTGGATAATGAGAGGTGAGATGATAAATAATTGAAAAATTAAATGTATTATTCATTTCTTTTTTTTTAAGGTTTCTATATGTATGTTCTACCAAAAAGTTTACATTACCTAATTGGTAATAAATATATATATATTTATTTATTTTCTTACAGTGGCTTCCTGAATCTGCCCGATTCCATGTAGCTAGTGGTCAACCTGACAAAGCTTTAGCAACACTCGATCAGGTATTTTTTAACTTTTATAAAAAATAATATCACGTACCAATCATCCTAACTAAATTTTATTACTTTAACATAATAAAATATTCTCGTGTATATCTGTAGGTGTAATTAATAAATCGCGTGATTTTATATAATCAATATTAATTTGAAAGTCTGTGCGAAATAATTAATGGTTTTCACTTTGTTGAAATAATGAGCTGTGATTGTGGAATACTTTGTTTAATTATGTCTTTCATATGCTTGAAAACATATGCAGTTATAATAAAAAAATGCTATAATAAACAATAAAATGCAATCTTATTTTCTGTATCATATGCTTGAAAACATATGCAGTTATAATAAAAAATGCTATAATAAACAATAAAATGCAATCTTATTTTCTGTATCTTTAAAAAAATATTGAAGGTTCAAATTATAAGGCTAATTAAATATGAGTTTTTTTTTATAAATTCCACACAAACATAAGTAATTCTTTTAATATTATGCTATGGCTTCATTATCATTGTGGAATGTAATGAAGAAGTCATTGTTTTTATTTGTTGAATGAACTATGAATTGTGATATCTTTTGAATAATGTGTTGAGAAAACATGATGGAATTTGTTGAATGAAATCAGATTTCTTTTATGTTTGCTTGTATATTTTTTATATATTTATATTTTTACTTAAACATAAGAAAAATACGTTATTGTATAAATAAGAATACATAGTATGTATTCCATTGTTAAAGAAAACTACTAAAATTTTAAGTTATTATATTTAACGAATTTATACATAAACCAGACAAAAAATATAGATCAAACTTAAAGTACTCTCAATTTTAAATGATCGGAGGGATGAGGGACAACATCATATAGGAAACTTGCTTTCCGCCCGCAGCTTCGCCCGCAAGGAATCAGGTTATATCGTGTTTCCAAAAGAACCTTTCAAAAGTCTATGATAAAAACTACCCTATGTTCTTTTCTCAAGGTCAACTCTATCTCTGTACCAAATTTCATTAAAATCAGTTCAATGGTTTAGGCGTGAAAGCGTAACAGACAGATAGACAGAGTTACTTTCGCATTTATAATATTAGTAGGGATAATCCGGAGCGTTAAGTGTTTAAGGCAACCTTTTTAGAAGTCACTTAAGAAGTTCCACTTCAGTAATACTTATGATATGGAGTGAAGTCAGATTTTTTAATATATGTATGTTTTTTATTTCAGATAGCTCGTGATAATGGCCGTCCTATGTTGCTGGGTCGACTCGTCTGCGACGACTCCGTGGGTATCGGACAAAGAGGACGTCTCAAACATCTGTTAATACCACAACTTAGAAACACCAGTCTACTACTTTGGCTTATTTGGTAATAAACACTATTATATAGATTTCTATGTAGTAAGTTAGATATATTTGTATATACCAATTTATCAGATAAACTAATTCTTAAATGAAATTAATAATATGTCAATCACATCTCGCCTACCCGTGATCACGGTTGCTGAAAAGTACCGAAACGTCATGACTACGTATTTTTTTTAAAATAACAAAATACGCGAAGTACTCCAAAAATTATTACTTTCATTTAAATGAATATTCGCGAAAGTCTTAACTGTCATTGATATAATTCTTTTTACTTGATGAATTTACTTTCTTATTTATATTACTTTAATTTACCGTTGACACACAACAAGCATGAGTAGTTTAAATCGTATTCTACTAGCTACTAGCTTTCCGCCCGCAGCTTCGCCCGCGTTTAGTCCGGTTATATCGCGTTTCCAAGAGAACCTTATGGTTCCAGAGATATCGTGATGAGTCAATATATAGGTGGAAATCTCTTTTATATATAGATATTCCATACTATGTATGGTATAGTCATATAATAACCACTAGTGAGATCTATAGTTATATTATTTCTATTTCAGGATGTCTTGTGCGTTTTGTTATTACGGTCTAGTACTCATGACCACTGAACTGTTCGAGACTGATGCTGGGGAGGAACCCTGCGCCGCTGACTGCCGTCCATTACAGACCACGGATTATATGGATCTGTTGTGGACTACACTGGCAGAATTCCCTGGTTCGTACCTATACTAGCTGCGCCCCGCGGTGTTGCCCGCGGATTTCCGGGGTGTAAAGTAGCCTATGTGTTATTCCTGGACGTCAGCAAAATTTTATCAAAATCGGTTCAGCCGTTTGAGCGTGAAGAAGTAACAAACATACACACACACTCACAAACTTTCGCAATTATAATATTAGTAGGAGCGTTACTAACGTCATACGCGGTTTTTTTTTTGCGAGTATTGTAGGTACAATTTATACTAAACGAATATTACATAGTATGGGTATTATGTATATTTAAACAATATATGTTTTGTATTCTTTGATACATATGGGGGGACATAAATTGAAACATTAACTTTAGTGTGTTTTAAATTGTTATTGCTTCATCATATTATAAAAACATTAACTAGTGTCTCCACACATATCCGAACCATAGATATCAGCCTCCAGTGATTTTACTGTAATAGATATTGTGGATATTTTTTGTATGTATAGAATCATAGCACTTTTGTATTAGTTGTCGTCGTGTTTTTAATGTAAAGCTTATTCAACTATTATTTATACAAAATGTCAGCCTTTGAATAGGAACACGAATTTTTTTTAACGATGCTCAATGTATACTTATATAGTTGTATACTTATGTATAGGTTAAATTTAATATTATTGTATCAGAAAAATATATTCTTTATATATATTTTTTATTCGATTAGTCAATACAAGATATTATTAAGTCCTGTCTAAATTATTAGCTTCGATGCTATTTTAAATAAAGCACAGCTCTAATATTTTAATAATATATATTTTGTTATATTTTCAGGAATATTCGCAACAATATTTATAATCGAGAAGTTCGGACGCAAGAAGACGATGGCTTCACAATTCGTTATATTCGCCATGTGTGTCTGCGTATTAACGTACAACGCTAAGTAAGTTTTAAATTATACAATAGAAGAATTTGTTGACTGTCTAAATTAATTTTTTTACTCATCTTTTTTGTACTGGACTGATTTATTTTCTTTGCATTTAATAAATTGTGTAAATAATTAAAATCAATACATATTTGTAGTATAATAATTAAAATTACTGAACGTAAATACAATTCTATAATATTGATTTTGCTCTACCTGATTATATTTAAAACGGCTCGGTCATTTGATTTACTTTATCAATACAAGAAAATGGCGAGCAAAGTATAGAAAAGTTCATTTTAGACAAAAAATCTCCAAATTAGGTTCTATATCAACGGTATATACCTGGTCAGAACTCACACACTGTCTGTCATTGGGTTTGTAAATAAATTTCATCAAATAATTTTATACATTTCGTATATTAAAAATAATAAGTCAGAGGTGGCCTAGTGGTAAAAAGGCCCGCCTCTCATGCCGAGGGTACGGGTTCGATCCTTGCAAATACCAATGAGATTTTTCGGAGTCATATGCACTTTCTAAGAGTATTTAGACATCACTGATTAATGCATTCCCAAAGAGGGTTGATATCAGGCAGGCGACTGGTCGTAAAAACAATTAGCCAAAACTATTCAGACATGTAATTCAACTATACATGTAAGGCAGACCCTGGCTAAAGCTGGGAAATTGCCACGTAGAAGATTTCGTATATTAAAACATTCATTTTGTAATTTCAGTCGCACTTTCCTCACTTGCACATTATTCCTGGCTCGTGGAATAATCGCTGGTTTGTTCCAAGCTGCCTACGTTTACACGCCGGAGGTAAAGTTGGTTATATTTAATTATAATACAGTTATGAGATAACCAAATTATTAACTTTAACACACAATATTTTAAATTGTCCAACAATTTTACCAAACATTATATAATATAATACAGTCAATAATTTTTGAAACAAAACAAATAATACTAAGATGAAATTTATTGCAACAGAGTATTTTATAATAATTAAAGGAAAAATATTTTACCGGCGAACTAAGATCGAAAAAAGTAAGGGGGCGAGATTTTAAAGAGTAAAAAGAGGTTTACCTTAACTTTCGACAAAAAATAACATATAATATATTTTTATGTGTTAGGTATATCCAACAGCGTTGAGGTCGACGGCCGTAGGTGCTTGTAGTGGTGTTGCAAGACTTGGAGCCATGGTTACACCATATGTAGCACAGGTAAATAATAAAAATAAATTAATCTAATTAATAACACTACACACTTTAGATGTGGAAGATACAATTTGGGCGATTATATTAAATCTTGGTAGAGTTTCTTATCAGTGTTGGCAAAAAATATGGAATAAATAAAAATTCAATATAAAGAATCCAGGAATGTTAGCATATTATTGGGTGATAACTTAAAAATACTTGTAGTTAATCTTAACCTCTCGCTACAGCACTATAATATTGTCTTAATATTTCCCATCAACAAGTACTTCTTGCTTCGTTTATACATTAGTGTATTTTACAAAAATATTTTTTATTAATCAAGGGCTTTAAAATATTTTACGTTTAAAAGAAATGATTTATCATTATAATAAAAAGCCGAAATTATTTCTACGTTTTTTTTCATCGTGTTTTTCTCAAACTAAACAGCCAATTCATTCATTTATAAAAATGATATTTTCCTTTACTAATTAGGTTAACGTTAATCTTTCTCGTACATATATTTTTTTTGTAAAAAATACATTATAATATATTTCAGGTACTATTAAGGAACTCAGTGTTAATAGCAACCGCTGTATACTCCGTGGCTGCACTGTTAGCGGCTGCTGCCTGCCTCGCTCTGCCGATAGAGACTAAAGGCAGAGAAATGAAGGATACTGTCACTGTCACCGGCTGACAGGCGTTTGGCATTTTGACATTAAACATTAAGTCATGGTTGACATATATCTGACGTATTGACATTTGACACTAATTTATATTGTGGAGGGTAGATGTAAAGAGCACTAAAATCTTTTACTTGTTAACATATATGTAAATGAAAAGAAGAATTATTTAAAAAAAACTATATGTATAAATACTCACCACTCGCACACTATTAATAATTACGTAAGTAACATAAATTTAAAATGCTAAGGTTTAAATTAAAATATTAAATATACAGATCTAATAGTTTTTATGAACATAATAATTTATGTTACATCGAATTACTACTTCCTGACTAGTATCTAAATATTTTTTATTTAGTAAGCACAAAGTATTAAAAAAATGTTGAATTTAATCTTTTTATATCATGAGGATTTAGTTGAAGCGAGAACGTTCCATTTACTATGTTAGTGTAGGTACTTATACAAGAAAACTCGCATAATTTACTTAATTTTATGTAACAATGACCACATAAGTGTATGACTGCAATAAATTAATATATTTTCCTAGGAATAGCAACAAAGGAACTAGAGAAGTCTTCCAAATGATAATTATGATGCTAGTGTATTTTAGTGAAATTGTATCCGACATAGGAACTGACATCTTTTATCTTACAATAGTCCTAACTATGGAACATAGAAATAGAATATTTTCAAAATCAGATATATTAGTATATACAAAGGATGAATCTTATAACTATTATGTAACAGAAAAAATGCAATAATTACATTAGAAAATGAAAACATTACAGTTGTATTCTATATTGTCCATAATTTTGTATTCGATATTTTTATTTATTTGCATTTGTACCTGACTAAGGTTGATCGATTACCGTCCTTGTAGGTCTATGACACTACCAACATAACTGTGTTTAAATTTTTACTTTCACAGTGTGATATTTAATCCAAACTTATTTAAGCATAGCTTTACTTAATAATTTTATAACTTTAAGTGAACTGTAAACGTGTGATAAGAATCTCAAGAGCAGACGAACAAAATATAAATATTTAAAAGAATTTTTGTCTCTTAAAAATCGATCAATTCACGTTTTAATTATTGTATACTCACTTATGAATAAAATCGTCATTGTTTTAGCGCCATCTGGTGAATTTTAATTAGTTTCTTATTTAAGTTTCTAAAGCCAAATCGGCCGTGTACTTAACTATGGTGACCTGCTTTTTTGAGTGTTACTATATCGTAATATTAATCGTATTATTCTTGTTAAAATTATACACGAAGTAATAATAAATAATTCTCATGTAATTTTAAGGTCTACTGTTTAGAACAGTAACAATTCTTTTCAATTTTCATTGCATTTATTTAAAATAATATGTAGTTTTACTATGGTTGTAATGCTAACTTTGTTATGTATTTGTATAGTTGTATTACAGTTTAATATTGACACCAAATATAATGTTATATTTTTTAAGCTTCTAATATTTTATACCATACAAATAAAACTCACTGCTGCTATTAACATAGATTTTCTTTTGACCCTTATATATTTAATCTACTTTATTTGTAATAGAAATCAGTTTAATTTACGAATGTAATTGTTGGCTGGTTTAATTAAAACAAATTTTGTGTCACAATCTATAATGATTTATTAAGAGTTAATAACACATACTCGAAACATCAGAAGATAATCACTCAAATAATCCACATTCCTTTCAATACATTATACGAACACAAACAACACTAAGATAAATTTAAATGCTAGTGCCAGAAAGCTAAAACAAAACATTGAATTTAATACTACATAAGTTTATCCCAAGTCACTGGACCATTGAGATAATAAATGTGAGATACTTTACCAAGAAATGTTCACCGAAATGATAAATCTAAATCACAATTAAAATTAAAATAAATTCACTGGAGGTGTCAATAATAAAAAATATCCTATGTCTTATTAACTATAAAGTGAACTAAGTATGTGATCAGTCAAACAATGGCCTAAATTTCTATAAATCTTAATAGAATTTTAATTATTAAATGTCCTTTATTTATTTAATATTACAATAAATAGGAATACTGGCTAAGTTTCTCAACAAACTAAATCACTTCCACATTATATACAGACATTTGTAGCCTCTATACTTACTCATTGTAAGGTACCTAGTAATTACTTTGTAATGAAACTTAACTAACCCCTCATTCTAAACTATATTTTTGAGTGTTTACTTTAAACGCTACCTTATATTTAACAAATATGACTTAACATTTTGTTACTAAACTTTTGTACAAGGTAATATTGGAGTAGCAAAGATAATTCTTTATTGAATGAAAAAATCATTGATACTAGTACATATATTATAAACTTATTAAACTGAAGATTCATAGTTTAGTAGAAGTTAAAAAAATATGCCATAACCTATTCAATATTTTTGTTAGTAATTATTTTCATACAATCAATTGAGATCACATTATAATGAATCAATATTGGCAAAAGTATAGTTTTATGCTAAATCCTTCCAATACTCAGTTCCTAATACAAAGTTTAAAAACGGTGGGATACTATAACCATAATATAATTTACCCAATGGCTATAAACAGTGTTACATAAGCAATTATATATTTTTGTCTTTAATTTATAAATCACTTAAACATTTCCATAATGATTGGTTTCATTAACATTACAATGAATTTTTACATGAATTACAATAAAAATTATATATTTCATAAATTGAGAGTGTAATAAAGTAAAGCTGCCATGTAGTGTGATGATACTAAACAATTTCAATATCTACTGATTAATACATTTATCTTTAAAATCTAAAGCTGTGACTTATGTATATAAGGATATACATATTTACAAATAAAAGAGGTGATTTTTTTGGGCCTCTAAATCCTAACAATGAAATTGAGCAGTTTATGAATGAGTAATATTACATAATCAATTTACAAAAGATTTGGCTTGTGATATATTATTTACTCATATTTTATATCTTTAACTATTGGTGTTCTATTCTTGAATGTTTCACTATATATTTAAACAATTTGTACCTACATATGTCGATTTGAGGACCCATTTCTTAAACAATAAAAATCAACTCCCTTAATTTGTACTACCAGCTAATCATTACAGTAAGGTATTTCAATCATCATCTAATTCAATAACAATAGGCTCTATATTTTCAGTAGCCTTAGTATATTCATCCTTGAGTTGCGTCAGTAATATACACTTTGGTATTTTAAGTTCTTCTGCTTCATCAACCAATACTTTCAGTTTTTGGAGACGACCGATATCTGGAGCCGTCGGTAGCAAAATGTTTTTAGTTTCAGTCATCCATTTATCAAAACTATTCACTCTGAAGTCGATAGTCTGCAGCATAATGTGCAATTCATCCATATCATAGCGATAGAATAAGGTTTGCTTTTCCAATGAGCATGGACAAAAACTATCACCTGTTGCATGTTGCAAGCAAGACATGTGCTTGCATTCTGAACAATATACAGATGATAAGAAACAAGTTGTTTTGCAGACTTCACATAATCTTTCATCATCTCCAAGCAACTCAAAAGCTGTCCTTCTGACATTCTTTAATCCATTCTTCAACAATAAAGCCCGTAAACGGCCTTCCTCCTCGGTTGCATGCACTAACTCTTTTTGTGTTTCTAAAGCTGTCTCCAAATCTAACCTATCCCCTTCTAAAGCCATTTTACAAATAAGTTCATCATGTGAGAACACACAGAATCTTTTGAGATATTTATAGTGCGTTATACATTCACGGCCAATATGAAGCCAATCTGGAGGAGCAAAGTTAACAGCTTCAGCGAAGTTATAGCCCTGATTGAAACCAGCATGATATGCTCTTGGGAAGGTAACAACAAATTCCCCAGCATTTTGATCAGTTCTATAGATGGGGACACCGGCTGCCATTAGTATGTTAGGATTCATTATTGTTACTAACTGATGCAATAAGTCCGGTTGAGATTTGAAAAGATCCGGGGCAGCTGCCTTCATAGCATTTTCTAGAAGTTCAGCTCCACTTCCTGGAACTCCATACCAAGTCTTGGCTTCACCCCAGTGTAGATAATTAATTGAATAGCTCCAATGATCTTCATTATGCCAGCAAAATGCTGAAAAACACATTCCAACATACATCCATGGTACCGTCATGCCGGAAATGTCTGCATTTATAAACCTTAAAACTGAACCTTCTAATACTGGCAAATTGTTTAAATTCCAGCCTGAATCAACATACTCCTGATCACCAGGGTATAAATTCAAAGAAGACTTTGTTGGAAAGCCCGATCCGTGATCCATTGAATGCAAATCTGCTCCATACTCCACAGTGACATCCTCTTCAACAGAAGATATAATTCTCCAGAACTCTTTCTCGGCCACATTAGTTGGTACAAGATGCCCGGACATACCAAAGTAGTCAGATTTAAATTTATCTGCCATTTCTCCAAACTGTTGCAAGGTGTATTCTCTCTCAGCTTGTGCAAAACCAAAAGCTTCAGCCGGCTTATGTACTTCTTCAGCAATGCAACAGGGACAACGCCAGTCACCGTCTGGAACCACATTGAGCGGTGGCTTCAAACAGAATGTGTGATATGTATCTGAGCAGCCATTGCATATCAGCAGCAAATCATCCCTATGATCTTTCTGGCAAATAGCACAGATATAAATTGCCAATGGATCCAAATCATACCGAGGTCTCTTTCTTGACTTTGTTATATCAAATTCTTCATCATTAAGACCTGGCATTTTTGGGCCAGGTCCATAACAAGCCAATCTCCTGAGTTCTCTGTTGCGTTTTATCTTTTCAAAATCTATTTTTGATTTTGTACAACCAGGTTCTATTTTAATATCTGAGCCAGTCTTTGTCTTCTTAATACTTGTGTGAGGTTGTTCATCATCAAAGTCGTTTTGCATTTTTGTTATAGATTCTATACTAATTTCTTTAAACACCTCTTTTCCATTTTCACTTTCGTCTTTAACTTCTACTTTACAATCAGACTTTTTGACCGTTTTTAAAATATCAGCTTTACTTTTTTCGAAAATTTCGTAAGGAAGAAGAATCTTTTCATAGTTACTTTTGAGAAAATTCATTGTGATTGTGCTTTGACTGTAACCCATTGTGTTAGCTATCTTACGCCATTTTTTTGGGCTGTTACAATTTTCAAAGCCTCCTTCTTCATCAACCCAGAATTTTAAGCAATAAAGATCCAAAGTTTTATTTTCAATCATAGGAATTTTAAGAGGTGATCCTTGGAGTTCCCAAAATTTTAATATTTTTTCAAGAAACAAAAGCTTAAGACGAGTAATGGCTTCCAATTCATTAACTTTTTGAATCCGTGGAACGAATTTTAATTTGTCGACATCTAAAGAAAACGGAGGCTGCCATCGAGCAGGGGGCTTTATTTTACAAATTCCCGTTTTCTCAGCAACAGGACGAATTTTAGCAATGTATCCTAGAGGATCCATAAATTCCTCAGGCGTAGGCTCAAATACGGGTGCCTCGGGTGGCGGAGTGAAAGTAAATTCAGCACTTTTTTGCATAGCATTCTTTTGAATATTTTTGCTATCCATTTTGTACGCACAACATTAACAGCCACAACAGTAAATAAAACTTGCAATCATAAATCCACGGTGAAAAAAGTTACTAATGCCTACGTGACTTTTCGCCATGTGTAAATGGCTCCTAATATTAAAAAGATCGGGGAACCAAACATTGGATTGACGAATTAAAGCCCAATGGCAGTATAGAAATTACCATTTTTATCCTATCTTATATTCAACCGAGCACGTTACAGCTAATAATAATCAATGTTTTAGACAGTTATATGTTACACCAGCCTCACTAGTAAAAATCAACGTTTTAGTCACCACGATACAAAACAGGCAATAATACGATTGCAACTAATGTCAGACCATCCGACATCACTAGATTCGACGGTCTACACCGGACAGTCGACACTTGACATCCTAGTATACACTGTAATGGTGCTCTTACACGATCAATATTAAAATAATTGACAAGTTCATTTAAAACAATGTCGAATTTGCTTTTTGACTGTTTTTAAAGTTCCTGATATATAAAGTTTGTAGTCGTAATCCATTTACGTAAATAATTTAAACATTAATAATTATTTTATTATATTTTAAACAGTATTAACAATAATATTTTTTAAGTCAAATGATAAAAAACGATTATATTGAAGGTGTCAAACCGACTTAAATAATACTGTAATAGATGCACACATTCGTTATGTTTATTTCGAACAAGCCACTTGCATACTTATTTCCATGTCATTATGAGTTATTTTAAAATGATAGATAGAAATGCGACATGTTTATGTAGGTGTAATGCTCTCTGTATCTACGCATGCCGTACGGTGATCTCATTGGTTGTTTTCGTTTAAATAGATATTTAAGTTGATAACATATTTAAGTTGGTAGTACTAATCAATTAAAATACTAAAAGAACGGAAACATTCAATATTTCACACGAAGATTATTACGGCTTTTCAGATAATTAACTTATCCTTTTCATAATATGAAAGATTCTATTACCTTGTTAATACATTAGATCTTTTTACTTTATGGAGATCGATTAAAATAATTGTTTCCATTTAAATATCTTATTCAAGCTCAGTTTTTCTCAGATTAATTTTATTACATAAGCGCTAGGGATAAAAACACAACAATACTTAGGTATGATAAAAAAATTACATGTAAGCAATAAAAAATATAATATTCTGTTTTTCTAGTTCAATTTAACTATGATTCTTTTTACTCATATTGTTGTTAATTTAAATATCACATTAGACACTTTTATGATAATTTAAAAAAAATTACTTATTTAAAACATTATATACTTTTATACTATATTATATACTTTTATATTTTATATACTTTTATCATTATTATTTTTTAAAGTAATAAAAAGGCTATTTTATGTTATGATCACGATAATCAAAATAAAGTCATGAAATAAACAAACTATTTTAAGCACTTTAAATTCTAAATAATGATATATCAGACCTTATAATCGATTAACGTGATTTAGTTTCAATTTAATTGAAAAATTCTTTGAATTAATTTTTATCTTAAATATATGTTTTATATAAACCTTTATATTATAAAGTTATTAAAAAATAAAAACCATATTTTTATGTTTGATCAATGCAAATAAGATCTACAATACGAATTGTAACCTGGCTAAGACATTGCTCTATTGTCGATTAACATTTGTCTATGATATAATGTCATAATTTTAAATAATATTAATTTGTTATCAAGTAAGAAAATATTCTTTCTTATATAAAGAATTTGAGTTTATTATTATTTTTAATAAGCGATATTCTATTTTTAGGCTATAACAAAATGAATTCTATACGTTTCCTTTGTCGCTTAAATAACATACAACTTCAGCAAATTAGGTTAGGTCATAGAATCAGAGGAAAAGCACCAATATACTGTAGAACTATTAAAGAAAGAATAGATGAGCTCAATTATAAGGATGAATTATATACGGCTAGAATTGATATCGGATTTCCGACTGAAAAGTAAGTATTAAAAAAATATTCACTCTCAAACTAAGAAAATCAATTATAAACACTTGCCCTTTTATTTAATAAATTATAAAAAAGTAATAATATTACAAATTGGTATGAAGCAAAAATTCTTCATTAACAATTTTCTCTATTTCAGGAAAAATGCATTGTCAGCCCGCGAAGATCGTATTGCAAAAGCTCAGAAAGCTAAAAGTGATAAAAACTTAGAAAAACTGGCAAGAAATTTGCAGTTGGAAATTAATATGGAGCAATCAAGAAAAGATTGGCTGCAGTCCTTGGGGCCCTTGCATAAGAAACAGATAGCAGACCATTATGCTATATATGAACATTTATATGGAGAGGGTTTCTTTATACCACATTTAGACTTAGAAGTGTTCTACGATCTTGGAGATGGCAATTGTTTACCTGTATATTATGGTAATGTGGTAAAACCTGCCGAGGCTTTACAAAGTCCTATAGTGAGCTATGAATCAGATGGAAATTCATTATGGACCCTTGTTTTGACAAATCTTGATGGGCATTTGAAAGATAATGAAAAGGAATATGTTCATTGGATGGTTTCAAATATTCCCAGTAACTGTATAGAGAAAGGAGATGTCATTTTCGATTATTTACGTCCCTTCCCTGTCAAAGGTACTGGTTACCATCGATATGTTTTTGTACTATACAAACAAGATGGGCAGCTCAAATATGATTTGCCAAAAGGTAAGAAACATGGTTTAGTCTTTGTTTTAAACAAATGTATGTATATTGTGTTTTGTTATCTATCTATCTATATCTTATAGCTTTGTGTTCCCATCACTCACGACTATATCAAATATTCATAAATGTATTGCTTCTGTTAATGAGATCTAAGACTTTCGCAAGTATTCATAAAAAAATTTGATTTACTAGGATTTTTTAATTATTTTAACTACATACTCCCAATATTTCTGATTCAGTTGACTTTCCATAGTCAATTTCATCTAGTCCGCCTGATCACTGTTTATACAAAGTAACTGAAATGTCAGGATTATGTAATTAAAATAATTCAAATCAAGTAATAAATCAGAAAATATTAGCTTAAGGTCTTGTATAAATTGTTTTCAACTGCAGTGATAAAATACAGTTTTTATGAATAATCAAATACAGTGGAGAACTGGTAATCTTACTAATCTGGAACTCCCTATAATCAGACATTGTCTATTACATACTTGTATTCCCTTATACAAGATTAAACAAATTACAACCCATACGCACCATCACTATTGTGCTTGTAGCATAGGATATTGTTTTGATTCTGATTGCTTAATTTTACTCCATATATGTATCAATGAAGAGGATAGCGGTCTAGTGTGGTTTCATTATTTACTGTTTATTAATTGTGTATTATGTTATGTAATCTTATGATTGGATCTAATTTGCCAGATTAAAATGTACTCTTTTGTAAAGAAATTCAAACTATATAGTGGATCTTAGGTAATACTCTATAATCCCACAAATTCGATAGTTTGATACTGGCCTGCTAAATGTTTTTCGGACTACCGGGATCTACTGTATTTGTATAATTTTATGAGTAGGATTTGAGAAAACTACTGTTATAGTCAATGTTTTCATATGTTCAACAGTTACATCAACATCATTGGAAGACAGAACATTTCAAACAAGAGAATGGTATAAAAAATATCAGGACAACATAACACCAATTGGTCTTGCATTCTTTCAAAGCGATTGGGACAAAACAGTCAGAGATTTCTTCCATACAACCTTAAATATGAAAGAACCAGGTAGTTATTTCAAGCCAATTTACTTACTACATATATTATTATAATATGTAATTAACTTTTATTTTAATACCAAAACTTATATTTCAGTGTACGAGTATGATTTCCCTGAACCATACATACGGCCACAAGAATGGTTCCCGCGACGAAAACCGTTTAATGTATACATGGACAAATACAGGGATCCGAAACAAATAAACAAAGAATATTTGCTACGTAAACTTAAAAACGAGCATCCGTTCAGAAGCCCAGAACCTCCCCTCAAATTCCCTAATGCTCATCCCTTCCCTAAAACAATGCCATCGTGGTTGAAAGTACAAGAGCAGAAAATAAGACTTAAATGGGGAAGAATAAACGATGTTTAAATTAATATTTTATATAGAATTAAATTAGATTCAAATTTGCTTGTATACTTTTATTTGACACAAATATCTATCTGATGGAATATATTGTTAAGGTATTAAAACAAGGTGGAATTATTTAGTTTTTATTACTAGCATTTAACAGCACACCAAGCTTATATGTATTTCGAGTAATATAAAAACAATAAAGATATTAGAACATTGGTTGATTACGTACGTATTGTGTATCCTATCCTAGAACAGTCTGGCAAAATACTAATATTAATAAAATAAATGCCATTTCCAGATCACTTTAAAAGGAAAGCAAAACTTTGGATTTAATAATAATAAATTATCATGAAAATAACTTTAATTTTAAGGCAGAAGTGGGCGGAAGTATTGCAAACTATTATATGAGTTAAGCTTTTTATAAACAGTAATTTGAATTTGTCATAATGAAACTAATCTGTATTTTATAATTTTTGCGACACAGCATCTCAAATTTTAATGTGTATGAAGATATTCTCAAAGGTTATTAATAGTATGGTATGTAAATAGTTTTTAGTCCAAGCCTACATCGTCATCGGGCGTCTTGTTTGCCGGCTTCGGTTTAGTATCAGCTTGTGGTTCTGAAATAAAAAAAATATAACATTACTTTTACTACAGCTAACATACATATATTATAAATATAACTAATATTTTTAGTCTTACTACTCGTTTTTTATGATTTTAAACTAGTTTCGGTTACTTTGCAGCAACCGTGATTACTTGCAGACGAGATGGAGAATTATTTTTTTTAAATGTAGTAAAACATACTCTATAAGAGGATATACAGAATTTAACAACTGATATTCATTCACTTGGAAATTTTAATTTAAATATAACTAAGAATCTATAATAAATAATTTAATAGTTTTTTTATCTAGTTCATTCATGAATTTAAAACAAAATTAAAGGTGACTTTGAACTACGACACTATACATTACACTTATGCAGTGTATACATCGAATGTCTCTAATTGCAAAGTTTATTGCGACACTAAGTGTTGCATCAGCCGTTGCGGTATGAACACGTTTTTATATTATTAGTATTATCAATGTGACCACAAGTACCACATAATTTTTGTATTTTCGTTACCAGATTAATTAGGATGTTTAATATTTGTACCGATATTCTAAAAATGAAATAGGTAAAAAAAAGTTAAATCAACTTGTTATGTCATGTCCTGTCAAAAGTCATAACTTTTCTGGTAAATCTACAAAATAAATATTTTAACTAAAAAGTTTTCATAACTTTGATATTTAATCTGTGTGAGTCATTCCACAATTAACAAGCTCCTTCTCTCTTAATATATTTTAGTACATTATTTTATCTAGCACAGTAATAATAATAAAGGCAGCATCAAGGCATTCATATATATATGTATATATTTGTGTATATATGTTAAATATTTATGTACTTGTATATGTATTTGTTTGTGCATATTTATGTATATTATGTATATGTATATTTATGTATTTTATACCATGTATATATTTTTAATGTTTCTTTAACTTCTGTGCACATCCTACTTACTACTCTCCTACACTATTCTGGGTTGGCTGGCAGAAAATGCTGTAATAGCGTTAAGTCCGCCTTTTGTACATCTTTTTTCGTGCAATAAAGAATAATAATAATAAAAAAAAGGTTCATCCTTGTCGACCAATCCTTACTGACTCATCTCTGTATGAAAGATTGGACACTATTTCAGTATACAACCACACTTTTAACACAAAAATTCTGTACAAGTGTATAGAGTAAAGACATCAATGTCTGACATTATGTCTGATTTTGTCTAAGTCTCCACATATTACTACACTTACCCGGAGTAGCACCAGATTCACACTTGTATTTCCTAGCAAACAGTTCCAATGCAGCAGCAATTTTAGGATTGTTCTGATACTTCAAAAAGTTGATTGGATTGGATGAAATGTCTTGCAGAGCCATTAATATTTCCAGATCCTGCAAGTTATTCTTTGTATTAATCCCTACTAATATTATAAATGCGAAGTAACTCTGACTGTCTGTTACGTTTTCACGCCTAAACCACTGAACTGATTTTAATGAAATTTGGTACAGACATAGAGTTGACTTTGAGAAAGAACATAGGTTTTATCCCAGACTTTTGAAGGGTTCTCTTGAAAACGCGATATAACCGAACTCCACGTGGGTGAAGTTAGGGGCGGAAAGCTAGTTAAAACATAATTTAAAAAATATTTATAATCAACTTCAAAGAAAAGATTATAAAATAAAAATATATGTACGCATATATATGTACGCATACATATTAATATATATTAATATGTGCTATTTTCAACAAAGAAAACAATATAAAAACGAAAATGGGAATTAATTTTATTTAATTGAAAAAACATCATATAAATTACACTTAGTTAATGTTTTTTATATTAATGTACCTGAGAGGCAGCCAACAATTCCGGATCCTTTAGAAGTTGCTCAAGATCTATTTTCCCCATGAACTTGGGAAATCCTTGTGAAAATGCTTGTTCCTCGGCAGCTTCAGCGTTTGCTTTTTGCGCTTTGCGGGCTCGGTTTAATTTCTCGCGACGCTTCAATAAAATATTGAGAACAAGTTTAATGATTATATCATACATTACATGTTATTTTGTTGTGTGTGTGTGTTTTTATTGCTTTAAAAGCAAGGACTACCACACGATTATGAATATATCTTGAAATCTATGATTTTCGGCATAATAGACAAATCGTAGTCATATTAAATACGGATAAAAAAACAGCAAAACAGTTATAAGCTTTGTTAAAGAATAAAATTATAAAAAGTAATTTCATCGTAAATGACTAGTCAAAGTAATACTAATTTTTGCTGTTATGAAAAACTTATTAACTATATAAATATTGTATACTAGAAGACCTGGCGAACTTTGTATCGCCCAATAATCAAGAAATATCTATTCCGATTTTTTATTTATATTATTGGAGTTTACCTGTAAGCCATAAATCTCCGTGTTTGGAAGTGCGACAGAATGATTGACATATTAGTTAGTTGTCAAATCTAATGTCAAAGAAAACATTTGTATGGGAAATAGAAAAGGGCTATTTTTATGGTTCTCCCGGAAATGAATCAATTTTTCTCACCTTTTATATCTTCCCTGAACCTTCACGATCATTTCAAGACTAAGATAAGATAAATCCGTTCAGCCGTTCTCGAGTTTTAGCGAGACTAAGGAACAGCAATCCATTTTTATATATATAAGAAGATAGAAGATTGATTGATTGGAGCAGATATTAAAGATAAAAATGTTATCAAAATTCAACAATTCAATAAATTGCTTAAACAAATGAATATAGAAACTTTTTCATCAAAACCTTATTTTAATGAACTTGATAAAAAAATACCTCCTTTTCCTCCCTATGACGTTGCACATTGATATTATGCTGGCGTATTTTATCAGCGTTCGGCTTAACCTCATTCAGCCATTCGTTTGTTTGGTCGTCGTAATCAATTTTGAGTGACTCGCACAGATCATGAGCGGCCTCCTCGAACTTTCCAAGCAGCCTGGAAATAAATATATATTATTATAAAACAAACACTCTCATTTTACGTATGTGCAACCTATTAAAAAATTAATGATTATCGCCGGTGGCAACATTGTTGTATGTATAAGATATATAATGAGTGACGCTGCTGACTACGCTGTACGTACACCAAGCCGTCTGAACCAGAAGATTCCTGATACCACACAAGCAATGAATGGGATTGCTATCCTAACATCGGGGTAATCATGTAGTCTTATAATATTATACATATAAGTAAGTTTAGTATCTCTCCTGGAACATCTGTTTGCTGTGAATCGAAAACGTATCTTATATGATTCTCAGCTTTATTCGCAATACCTACCACGTATTTGCATTGTCATACTAAAATCAAATATTTTCGATTTTGCCACTCAAAAAAAAAACTGTGGTAGTTTTAATGGATATATTAATTAAAAAATGCATCCTACTATTGCTTAGTTTGACGCGAATTCGTGTTACTTCATACAATAATTCATATTAATAAATAGTTTATAGTTTTAAATCACTGTTATTTTGACAACTGACATGTTTATTTTACTGTAAAGCGTCATAAAATCCATCCTTCTATTATTTTACTGGCGTTTAATTGTGAAATTATGATTATTACTTTGTATTGTTAGTGTTTGTAATTTTATACGTAATTTGATTCGTTATTTTTAAGTATATTTAGGTATTTATGAGGTAAGTTTTTTTGGTACATTATGGTAAGTGAAAATCTCTCAAGCGAAGTATTGCCATATAATTGTATTTATACTTTTATTGAATACTACGATTATTTTGAAGCTAAATGGATAAAGTTAAAATAAATACAAATAAAAAAAAATAAAAACAGCGACACAGATGAACATTTACAATAAAAAATATCTTGTGGTTTTCTTTTAAGCCCATGCTTCATTGTTCTCTTATATTATAAACAATATTTTCAACACTTAGAGGATATATTTGCTACTTTTCATCATGTAAATAGATGGAACACAATTTAATATTATAAGATCTAAGACTTTCGCGAGTTTTATTAATTTAAAAATTACTCATAACTATTATTACTTGTAATTACAATTTAATATTAGTCATAAGTTCATACAGTTTTTCCTATATGTATAAAATTTTCTTAAAACTTATCAACATTTTGATTGATATTAAAAACAATACTTAAAATGTTTGTTTAAAGTTAATACTTTGAAACTTCTCATATGTAAACATTTTTTTAATCATAAATATATATTTTATTTAATTTGTAATACCTGTAGGCGCGGCCACGGAATTTATATCCAGCTACACTATCACAGTTCAGTTCCAGAGCTCGTGAGCAATCCTTGATACAGGCATGCAGTCTGTTCTGCTTTAGGAAAACCTGAAAGGTAAAATTATAATAATAATAACTTAATATAAATAAATAAATATGTAATAAATTAAAAGCAGACATTCAAAAACTTTTTTGTATAAATGACAAACAGAATAAAACTGTTCCAATATTGTTTGTTTAACAAAAATTTTATATAAATTGTGAGTAAACCAGAATATATCATACATGTGAATAACACAATTACTTTGTCAGTTACCTTTTGAAATAATGCACTATTATTTCTATAAAATAGTTATAAAAAACGCCTTCATTATTTTCAGCATAGTTATAATATTATAAACCGTTTCAAATGCAATTATTTACTTTTTATCATTTGATAGTTAAAGAAAAGATATAAAATTATTTTAGTTATTAACAAAAAATTTGAAAAAGATGTTTTTATGAAACATAATTCAGAAAAAAAATTCACAGTTAATGATGTTGCTAATCTTAATATTATTAATTAAATACTTAAACACACATAAAGAAAAAAAATAAGACCATAATTAGAATTTATAGCATCATTATTATTATATGTATATTGACCTACCTGACCCCTTTTGGCGAAAAGAAGTGCACTTTGTGGGTTAAGTTTAATTGCCTCAGTATATATCTGAATAGCTTCATCATATTTTTGTTCTGAGAAGGCACGCATGGCTTCCGATCTCTTTTCATCAGAGAGGTCCCGATCTTCATCGGAGACTTCCTTTGTCTCATCACCCATTTCCTGATCAGCTGGAGTTGAATCAGTTATTACTCCTGGAAAAACAGGTCAAATTTATTAAAACTAGATAGAAATAAGTAATTTGGTTTAGACCACTGCTTGATTTACTATGGTACATATGTTAGAAATAAAGATTTCATATTAGGACATAACCAGGAAAGTAATAATATTTTTGTCTTCAAATTATTATTTACATATCAACTGCAGTATTTCTTTATTTAAAGTATGTTACTCATACAAATTACATATATTACAATACATTATATTGAAAGGTTAAAAAAAATTGGCCAGAAAGGTCTCATGAGTCATTTTAACTTGGAGTTTGCAATATTAATGAAAATTATATATGTACATTAGTAAAAATTACAAATGCAACAAGGAGATTATAATTGAAGAGTATCAAATATACTTTATATGACAATTCACATTGATAAAGTAAACAAAAAAGAAAATTTGTAATACATACAATAATAATATAAATTATACACTCTTATTTTATATCCTATTATTTTAAATATGTTAAATCTTAATGAAATCTAATACTTTCGGGATAGTCATTTAAATAAAACTTATATGCTTGGATCACTACTGCTTTTTTTATTGAGAATGAATGCTCATCTCGTCTACCAATCATCAGGGTTACTGCAAAGTAACCAAAACGTCAGGAGTATGTAGTTCAAAATAATTAAAAACATATAGTAATCCGAAAATACTAGTTTTATTTATGTGTTGAACCTTAAAAGCAAAGATAATATAATCATACATGTTTACAAAAATATATCGAGTTAACAGTATATTGACGATAACATTCTATAGTGTTTTTAAAACATTTTATAATTGGAAGCAACGAAACTAACAATGTTTTGAGACAAAGGAATTAATGTATAGAGTAAAATATATAACATTTACATTTTTTATTTATAAATCCATTCATTCATAAAATTAATTATAGTATTCACTTAGATGTCTGGCCGTGTGAGTAAAGACTATTAAATCACTACAGTGACATGAGCAAGGCATTTAATAGAAGTAATAGAGTTATCATATGTCAAAAATGCCTAAGAACCATTGCAATGAAACTGACCGTCAAATGAAATGAACAAATAAAAAATAATAACAATTTAATTTTTTATTCTCAAAGGTGGCAAACAAGCAGTCGGCTTACTTGATGGGCAGTAGTGACCGTCACTAATGGACATCCGCAACATAGATGTTACAGATACATTGCAAACCTTGGTTGTTGAGGAAAAGGGACGGTAGGAATAGGGAAATCGCAGGAAAGGGAGGGAATAGCGAAAAGGCAAGTATTACCTCAACGCTGCTTTGTTAAACATAAATGTATGAAAGAAATCATATTCTGAATTGTTAATCCATTTAAAACCTACAATGGCATATTACATTCCTTGTTTTGACTCAGGTGTTAAATTCTGGGAAGAATGTCATTTGACAATAGAATATAATGGTTATTGGTAAAGGTAAGGTAAGTTTAGTTGTGATTATTTATTTCTTACCTTCCATATCAAGTTCTACGTCAGATTCAATATCTTCCTCCTCCTCCTCTGCAGGAACTTCCTCTTCAACTTTAGCACCAGCATTACTAGAATATACATATAGATACTCTTTAAATTATTAATGCAACTTATATACAATCTGTCCATATTTATACTCAGAGATAAAGCAAGGAATTTGTTTAATATTGACATTAGACATTGTCAATAACAAGTTACTTTAACAAGAAACATAGATATCTTATAGAAAAATAAACAAAACCTTTAAAATGTTTCATTTTTTTAACTTAATGTGATATTATGCTTACAAGAGAGATTTTATGTTATTTTAAATAATTATGATGAGTAAATAATCTAAAACTGATATGCTCTTTAAGACTTCAGCACTTGTATTTTGTAATTATTGTTCAATAAAATTGTTTGCAGAGAAGGCTTAAAAAAGAATGAAAAATCTCAACCGAATACTATTTATTAACATATATAATCTAGAAAACTAAAAAGCCATTAATAACCTAAGTTAAATTACTACTTGTTTGATTATAAATAGAATAAGAAGAAATATTTTGGATTTTGAAGTGTCTGAAAATTTATATTAGAAATTAATTATTATAATATATACATACCTATCGCCGGAAGCGGTAAAATTTTTGGTATTGTAAGTAGCGGTGGGGAGCGTAACGCCGAGTGAAACCAAATAATCTTTGAAGAAAGATAATTTAGGATGATGCAGTATCATAGGTTGATTCTTGCAAAGCTCTACGAAGGCCTTCAGTTGAGTTAACTGCTCTTCATTAAATGGGCAATTCATTTTTACACTTGTTTTTGGCTGTTAAATAAAAAGATTATTAGAATAAAATTTTTAATCAACCGGCAAACTACTAACAACTAAATATGTACATTGTTTTTTTTATAAAATACATTTGAATAGAGACATACCCTTTATAACAGGAATAACAATTGACTTCAAGATTAGTCTAGAAAACGCTTATATTCGACGGGGGTAATAAAAAATGTCAACTAATATAGCAAATAATGCAATTGCATTGACAACTGTCATTTGACTTCTGACAGTTATAGTCTTTTAAAATTATATGAAAAGTATGAAAAAAGGCAAACTCCAGAAATAAATTAAAATAAATGTATTTTAAAAAGATATTTTTAATAAGCAGAGTTAGTAGATTTTCATAAGAGACATGGAGTTAGTGATATCATAGAGTTTACAGTCATACCGGAAATTTGGCTACATTGCTATAGAAGCTACTGCTTTAAATAATTGGACGTCGATGTTGATCGAAATGAAGTAATTTATTAATATAAAATACTGAATTATCAGAATCATAAGGTAATTCAATAGATGTTTCTGTAACATTTATTTAAGAATACTATTTTAAAATGGGATACTTGTATTTTGTTCATGATGTTCCATAACTTAGAAACGTCCTGAGGTTGAAAGATATTTAGGATTTTTTTTGAGAGTGCTAATTACCGAATGAAATGTGTTTATGAGCAAATGAAATGGATAGGCACGAACGGCGTATTGATTCAGTTACAAATACTATAATAATATAAATCTCAAAATCAATTTGAGGAAAAATACTTTGCTGATTTTGATCACGGTTATGAAGTTATGTAATTCCTTAAGCATATTTGTAAAGTATTTAATACTGACGTTCAATATGATACTGATTCGTGGCGTGAAACATTAAAAATATTGAGGAAAGAATGATTAAAAAGCCCTAGTGATAAATAACACTTTCTCTGAAAGTTTAGTTAGTTTATTAACAGTACTAAGCAAACTTACCCGGAACGCCCGGTAACTAAAACTAACTGTATCTTGATTTCAGTATTAGTTTATCGTATAATCCATTTTCTCCTGGTGGAAACTTAACCTGAACTGAAAGAACGCCTTTTGTATGTATACAGCTATAAGTCTTATTGGTTTTTACGAAAATCAAGATGTCATCTTCATCGGTGAAGGCTGTGTATTATGATATATGGAGTATTTTTTTATGTATGTACCTATTATCAGTCGTTATTTTATCGTTAAAGGGAGGTTCGGAGACGGGGAGTTTATTGGTTTGGTGATCAGCGCTTCTACTTTTTTTTTTAAGGGGAAAATCATCAAATGACCTCTTGCCTGGGTGAGGCAAGAGGGAGTGTCAGACACTTACTGACTAAAAACCCCCCAATCCCCCGTACCTACTCCTGCTCCGAGCCTGGCCGCGGTACATCATTGCGCTTACACCCGCGACCTGGCCAGGCATCGGCTCTAGGGCCCCATCTGTGTTGGTCCGATGGCTCTTTGAGGCGCGCGCGGTACGCTACGCGCCGTACGCATTTTGTTGACACCTAGATATCTGATTTTTTGCTATTGAAATGGCCGATCGCACAAATGAACTGACCGTTTTGGAATGACAAAGTTAAATGTTATTACTGAAAAAGGGGATGGTGTTTTTGTCAGGATGTATGTCTGGCTTGACCTTTTTAGGACTGACGTCATGAACTTATTTGTTGCTAGCTATTCCTTATGGCGTCGTCCAGTTGAAATTAGGCTTATTATGCACTGCGTGTTTTCAAAAGTTTTTCTTCCTGTTATACACGTTTTAGGAGGATAGCGGTAACGGGAGGACAGAGTTGTCGACAAAAATTAATAAAAATGGTCGTTTTGCACTTTATGCCTCCATATAGCCCTATTTACGGTTTCATACTAAAATTGGAATAATAAATTCTAATAGAGATTAAAAAGATTTTTTTTCGACAAAGTTCACATTAAGGTTCACATATTGAAATATTTTTAATATATTAAGAATTTATGTATATAATATGACTCGCATATAATAAAATTTTGAATAAAAATACAATAATTGAAATTGAGGGGTTGTTCGGCTTTTATTTGATTTCATTTCTCCGTAATGTTGCCGTAGATCAGATTCCTCATGGAATATTCAATGTTAGGGAAAATTGTTAAAATCAGGGATTTCTTATAATATGTAATTTGAATAATGACCTCCTGGAACAGATCATTTTAGATATATTTAATGTTTTCTAATGACGGGTTAATATACCAAGCTATTAGTGAGGTGAACAGTGACGTAATGATGTCTTTAGATTATTTAGTTGTAGGGTAGAAATGTGTAACAATTAATTTCTTAGTCGACTACTTTGTGGATGTCGGAAGAACGTTTGTATGGTTCAAATTAAAAGAAATAAAACAATTTGAAAAATGGACAAGACTATAGCAATTAAATTGTGCTTCTTAATGTGGGGTAAGTTATATAATTAAGTGTTATTGCAATTATGTTACAGTAGATTCTTCTGTGATAAATACGTCAGTCTTTATTTTTTTTAACTAATTATTGTGATGTGGTTATTTTAGTTCTTCATTCATTTATATATAAAAAATATATCAGATTTTCAAGTGTATCACATAACATAGATGTATTTCTAAATTGTTATAGTGTATATTATACATTTGTTTAAAAGTATGAAGCAAGTGATAAAATATCTCCATGCCAAAAAACTTTAACTTTTCATTCAATACCGAAAGAAAAATCGAAATATGTTAAGAAGAAAGAAATATGAGGTAACTTTCGATCTTACGTCTAACTTGTTCATCCGATCTTAAGAAAATTTATATGAGACATTTTGTAAAAGAAACTTTATGAATAATATATATGTATATTGTACCTACATATATACTTAGTTCAATATTTTTACAATTAGGAGTGAACAAAATATTAATTTTGAATATTGAATGTTTCTTTTTAACGATTGTCAGTTGTTTTATTTATTTGGCGTCAATACTTATGTCATTAATTATTTTGTGATATTGTATATAAAAGAGGGCTGATGAATAAAATGCAAAAATAATTGTGGTTTTTAAAATAGGTGTGGTCCTAATAAATAATGTTTTCTGAATACCCCATACTCGTATTAGTGAAATGTTTCTGTATCGGTTTAATGATAAATGATAATTATATACAATAAATATTCTGATGATGTTCGAAAAAGATTTAGTAATCTAGGTAGTGCATAAAAGAGGCGATGATAGTAATAACGGAAAGAATTTAAGGAATTTCGGTCCCATATAAGAAGTTTTTATCTCACGAGATCCAAATAACGAGGACTTACAGTTTAATAGAGACAAAATGATATTTTTTAGTTCTCAATTAGCCCAAAAACTCCTCTATGGACATAATATGCTCAATTTCGGTCATGTTTTTGAGGTGTTTTTCTATGAAGAGTGACTCAGACATAAATTTTATGAAAAGAGTATCAAAACATCGGCACAAGTTAATTTAGATATAATTTTTGATAAGTTTCAACTTTTAAGGGATTATGTTGCACTCATTGTAGACTATTTAGAGTAAAGTTAATATTAAATACATTTAAATTAAAACAGAAACTATCGTAGCTATACAGTATACCTTTATGTAAAGTTTTAAAATACAAAAAGATTCATTTATTTAATTATTTTTAATAGAGTTTGACTATTGCTCTTGACTGTTGGTACATGAAAAAAGTCTTGTGTGACAAATGCTTTCTTACACAAACAACCTAATTGTTTCAACAATCTCATATATAAGTTACTAGCTTTTGCCGCGACTCCGTCCGCGTGGAATAGTGACTTAAAGCAGATTTTTAGTTCTTCCCACAAAGTTCCCGTTCTTGTGGGATTTTTGGAATGGTCGAGTTCCCGTAGAATTTTCAGGATAAAACCTATGTTTTTTTTTATTCACAATGAAGTAGTCTTAACCAACAACATATTTATTTGTTTCTTTGAATAAAGATTAATATTATTATATTGATACAACTTAAACAAATTATTTCGACCAAATTAGGTACCATAAAAACGGTTTTTGTGAGTTAATCTTAAAAGATAGACATATACTGTCGCGGAGTGTTTTTTAGATCATTAAAAGAGCTATTATTCTTTAATACATATTTTTTGTGTATCTTGAACCGTTTTCACGGCGCACGCAACGGAAGGCTTCAAAGATGACATAATTTCTCCCGTTTTTTACACATTTACCACTATATCTTTGCTCCTATTGGTCGTAGCGTGATGTTATATAGCCTAAAGCCTTCCTCGATAACTGGACTATCCAACACAAAAAGAATTATTCAAGTCGAACCAGTAGTTTCGGAGATTAGCGCTTTCAAACAAACAAACAAACAAACAAACTCTTCAGCTTTATAATATTAGTATAGAATTAGTAGTTATTTAATACTTTTTATAATCTTATTTTTTTTTTGGTCACCTAATATCTATCTTTATAAAGTTAAGTCTAGTCATCCTTATAAAGTTAAGTTAGTCCTGATAGATATCAAAGGCAAACTCTCGGTTGCTCTCAAATTCACTAACTAAGAATAAGCTCAAAAGATATTGAAAGGCTTCGGATGAGAGTAATTTAACTAAGATTTATATACAAAATAAGATAAAATCTATTCCCTTGTGGAACAGTAATGAATATTTTATATAGTTTAAGATTAAACCTACTATACAAAATAAAATTGTTTTCTTATACCTTACTTTATTGTTTTAAATCTCTCCCACTGCTTATACGAATTTTATATTATGAAGTCAAAGGAGTGGGATAATGTATTGAGTTTTGATTAGTGAAATGGTACGCTGTTAACTAAATTAATATGATAGCAAGCATGAACTTCCTTCTAAAATAGATATTACATCAATTTTGTTGAAAATTGAATTTTATAGCATAAATATTTCATTTCTTTATTAATTTGAAAGTTCTATCAAATTTCTAATGCTCATTGTCCTAACATTAGTGTTGGACGCCGTTGAAGATTTTTTTTTCATGTGTTTATTACCGGTTTTTTAAATCTCTATTGTTTCGAAAAACTGTTATAACCTCGAATTAACCATTCCAGCTATATCTGGTAATGTTACGACGGCGGTAAATATTACTAGAAACTTCGATTTGGATAGCCTCATATCCAGTATGTTTCAAAACGGTGACAGCAATTACCCAGGGAATACGCAAGGCTTTCCAAATAGTGATCAGGTATGAAATATCAGATAGTAATTAATAATTATATATCGTTGTATACATCTTCTTCTGTTATTATTTCTTTTGTCAAAAATAAAGAAGAATATTTCATACATATATAATCTGTTTTATGTATTTATATGTATTTTTTTTATTTACATTTATTTTAAATGCAATTTCTTTATGTTTTCAGAGTAAGCCGCTGTATCAGGAACCATCGAAGCCTTTAAATAATTTTAATCCCGCTGACAATTATCCAGAGTATCCGCCGAATGGATATCAGGTGTGTTTTCTACATATAACTATTTAATTTGGAAAAAATATATACAAATGTAACTGTCATGTAAAGTCAAAGCATAATTTTCATCTTAATTTAATCTGTGCACATAAAACTCGGTCAATTTTGTCTAAATTATTAAATATATTTATAAAGATGGTACTGAAATATATTTTAGGTAAAATAATATTAAATAATATATATGTATATCGGCGTTATTACGTAGGTACATTTGTATGGATGGATGTTTGATTAGGGATCGTAAAGTAATCGGGTCCATACTAATTATGGATCATATTAAATACATAAGTAGAGTTCTTAAAGATCTTATATTTATTATCATAGTAAGTTCAGTTACATATTGTGGATGAAAAACACCTAAATATTGATTTTGTAATTTTCTGTATGTGTGTGATTGCGTATTATGATACACATATATGTGTGTATAAAATATTATATGTGTGATTTTTTGAACAATAAATCATTTCAGAGCGGCCGTCCCCAATACGAGCGGCCAAGTGGTATCAATAATATCTACCAGGGAAATAATCCCGGCTACAGTCGCCCTGGAAACTATCAAATTAGACCAAATCAGGTTATTATTATAAATTATATTTTTATCATTTCCTTTTTCATTTAAGTCACGTGTTAGAATAATCAAAATGGAACGAAACCTCACGAATTTGTTTATTCATTGCTCAATAGAATTTTCTAGAGACTTTTAATTAAGAAAACTCCCTATTACAAAAAAAGACCGCGTACGGAATTCCACTTTCCCTTTCTCCAAATGTTTCAGATTAATAATCCCCAAGGAAATGTATGGAATAATGCAAATGAGAATCCGGGAATGAATTATCCAGGTGGTACGCCATTTTTCCCCGGGAATAGTGCTCAGGTAAATTTAACATTACTCAAAATATATATTTGAGGCTAGGTCAAAATCTATTTACTATATAAAAGCCGTTATATTATTATGTTAATAGTTATTGATTCACAATGATATAACACTTTTACAGAATCCACAATATCAACGACCAGGTGGAGGTTTCACGGGAAATCCCTCTAATGGAGTTCCGGTATAGCTTTTAATTATACTTATGAAATTTTCTTTACAATTAGCTAATGGCATGTATATATAGTTCGGTAAAAATCGAAAAAGACAAGTACTCATAGCAGAAAATGAAATAATTATAATTGGTTTGGTCTGAAACAAATTTTGGTATGACGTGATTTTTATTTCATTTAAGGCTTACTACCGTCCAAGACCAGGCATGGGAAGCAATTGGATCAATAGGAAACCAAATGTTAAATATGATCCAGATGTACAGGTAATAAATATAAAAGTACATTAAACTTATTGTTAGCAAAATTTTACCTTTTACCAAAAATATTTAGTCGCCATCTTGAATTTTTCGCTCTTTGAATCTATGATGACGTCACACGTAAACCTGATTTGTCATTCAAACTAAACGCGTAAACAAAATACTAGCTTAATTTGTATAAAATACTGTATTCGAAATTGAGTTGTCAAATTCTACCAAAATAAAAATAGTCATATATCTAAAACAAGTCATTTGCAAGTTAAATAAATAAGTCTATAAATATCTCTTTACAGTATTAAATGTATTGGATATTTAATTATTTTTCTTGTAATTAAACATAAGTATAGAAGAATTATTCCGTTATAGGAACCTCAAGTAATGGGTTGGAATCCTAATGTATATCCGAATAATGCTTATCCAAACCAAATTAACGTTCCCGGAAACCAGATGCAGACGCAGGGCGTTCGGCCAGGGTTTGACCATCGTAACCCCGGCTTAAATCAAGGGCAGACGATCCAATATCCGTCGGGAGACTCCCACAATTACAGACCAGGATTTCAAAATGTTGGCTTATTTAATCCGTCCCAACGTCCCAATGGATTAAACAATCAATTACCAAGCTTACAGTACACGCCAAACTTTGACCAGAATTTAAATTACCCCGACCCTAAAAATAGCGACTTGAATAGAAACAGACAAAATAAGACAGAAAAAGTTACAATACCAGCCCGGCCATCCGATATATCCTTACAAACAGTACATAAAAGGTAAAACAACAGACGTTGGTGAAAACATCTCAATTCTTTTATTATTAAATAATTTTTTTTGCGAATAATTTTTGATATGTGAATTTGTATTTGAAATTAAAAGAAACTCAACTGAAAATATGCTTTTTAATACAATGTCATGCATGGTATGAAGCCAAAGTTTTAGGTCACGGACGAATGTTATTAACGACTTAATACGAACAGAGAACGCGCTTGTTTTAAATTAAAACCAAGTTATATTCAACAATTGATATTTCCATTTCTATTTTCGATATGAATGAGAATAAAAAATAATAATTTGAGTTCGAGGTTTCAGTTATTATAGTCCGTTTATAGTCCAACAAAGTTTTCGTAACAACTCTAACGTGTAGTCCTAGTCGTATGAAACAATGCGTCCAGGACTGTCCCACCACTAGCGACTACAGTCCGCGCTGTGGAAGCGATAACGTGACATATTTTAACGAGGAGAAATTCCAGTGCTCCCTAAAATGCGGTTTCGGTGAGTCCATAGATATTTTATTATTTAACGAACACACTTAGTTTTAATGACATGTGTTACAAATTAAAATGTACATTTTTGTTCAAAGTCTACACCGTCCGGAGATTTGCATTTTTAATGATATGTGCATTTTGTTTCTAGCGTGCATTTTGTATATGTGATATGCATTTACATAATTATATAATCAGTTTAATTTGTAGGTTTAACGATATCACTATATTGCTATTATTAATGTATAAATATAAAGGATTTTAGGGTTATTATGATAATATAATTTAATGATACAGTATATATTACGCGACAAAATTATACACTGTAAGGGCTTGAGCCAGTATTGTAATATCAAAATCTATTGTATGATAAATCCGATGGCTTATACGTAGACCCTTGAGTGAAATCGTATCGATCTACATTACAATTGGAGTTCTTTACTATCGTTTACTCTAAAGGCTACTTGAAAGAATATTAAACTTGTAGACATTACAGTAAGAGGCAATAAGGAACACGTTAAAGTATTTCCATGAGAATGTTTGTAATTCTGCTACGATATATCAAATAAATATTCAATGTAATAAGATATTCTTATATCCTACTCATTTTATACTACTTGTAAATATATGGATGGTTTTATGAGAATGTTTAATCCATTGGTCACATATTTATAGATTTAATAAATCAAATTAATCTGATTCGATTAATGAAAAAAGTCATTTATGACCTGGTATCGTAAATTATAAGGATTAGAGTTAGTCAGTGGTGGCCTAGTGGTTAAAAGGCCCGCCTCTCATGCACAAGGGCGCGGGTTCGATCCTGGCCCTGGCAAGTACCAATGTGATTTTTCCGAGTCATATGTACTTTCTAAGATTATTTAGACATGACTGATTAATGCTGATTCCCAAAGAGGGTTGATGTCAGGCAGGCGGCCAGTCGTAAAAACAATTAGCCAAAACTATTCACAACATATAAGGCAGACCCTGGCTAAAGCTGGGAAATTGCCAGGAAGAAGAAGATCATAAATAATAAGGATATTTTAATAAGAATATTAAAAGAAGTAAATGTATAAAATATATCTTAAGTAATATGTTCAGTATTTACATGTACAGTCTGTAATTATAGCGTAATCGATGTTAGGTTATGCTGATGGATTAACGTGCCAACTGAGCCGTGCTAGGGATCTATGTTTAATTTACAAACGGCATACACACAACACAACTATAATAACACGAAACATATACCTTTGGAACCTGCTATTGCTAGATTTGTGTAACTTGTTGTAACTTGAAGGAAGTCATAAAAATGTATGTAAAAGATGGTTTATTTATAAGTAGTTTTAATAGTCAATAGTGTAAATAAAAATGTTCGTAATAAATCCGCATTAAATGTGTCGTTTGTTTCAGATGTGAAAATTATAAGGAATGGAACGTGCCCGAGTTGATTTAAGTTGACTTAAACTGTATAAAAATAAAATAAATGTAGGATGCCAAACATAATAAAATTATCATAAACTAGTTTTTGCCCGCGACTTCGTCCGCGTTAAATTCATCATTAGTAATATATGTATAGCTGACCGGGCGAACTCTATCCCGTCCTAGAGGCCATAAATAATCAGGTTTTTCCTGTTACAATCGAACAGAATGATTGACATATTAGTTAGTTGTCAAATCTAATGTCAAAGAAAACATTTGTATGGGAAATAGAAAAGGGCTGTTTTTAGGGTTTTCCCGGAAATGAATCAATTTTTTCTCACGTTTTATACCTTCCCTGAACCTCCACGAAGATTTCAAGACTAAGATAAGATAAATCCGTTCAGCCGTTCTCGAGTTTTAGCGAGACTAAGGAACAGCAATCCATTTTTATATATATAGAAGATTAGTAACAATATTGAATGAAAAGAAATCAGTAATTTATATAAAAAAACACTTCATTTTATTTAAAGTAACTGACAGCAACTGTCAAAAATGTATTTAAAATATGACATATGACTGACATAACATATGTACTTACTATTATGACATAAAAACAATTCATTACGAAGTACAATAAAAATTAACATATACATGTATATAAACAAAATTAAAATCGTCCAAACTTGAAATGTAACAGATCCGCCATATTAATTATCATTAATGAATATTTGACGTCTAATTGTAATTCATAACGTGTCGCATTGATTTGGAAACGATTGTTAATATTTAACGCATTGATTACGTATCACGGCTTAATTAACTAATGAGCTCCAAAATATTCCACTGTATCTGATTTTATTATTACTTTAAATTAATACTTTTTTAGTTTTATTTTAATGACGAGCTAAACTTGGGAAGGTATTTTAAACAAGCTACTAGTGTACTCCATTGTCCATTGAATTATGTACTAAGTTGTTACTTCGAATAACTATTAAGGATGTTGTAAAATAAATCTTTTGTGTTTTTAATATATTCATTTTCTATATACTATAATTAAAATCTATTTTTTTACTTTATTAAAATATCTTTAATGGTTACCATCACTTGTTTTATTTATAAAACAAAAATTATAAAACGCCAAGGTTTTGTATCCACTCATTGTTTTGTAAAAGTTGACCTAATGTAAAAGAGTCAATTTACAATAATCATTTGAAAAAAGTGACTCTGTTCATATGAAGAAAAGTGACTTGCTGTACTGTAACGCCATTACCATGTTGCTTCAACCTTATTGAGTTTGAGAGTCATAAAGAATTTGTTATAACATTAAACGGTATTTAACAGAAGCATTGTCTAGACTGAAAATTAATGCCATTAAGTTAATGTCTTATATTTGCATAAGATACTATAAAACTGATTATAAATATACAATTAATGCTAATAAAACGTATCTATTGTCTGTCAAGTCGATAAGCATAATAGCAATATTTATCTAAAGAGGAATAATAGGCTGCGGTGAGAGTGATAGCGGCGCACGTTTACAAGCTATTGTCAAATCGGTAAATCGAAAGTGTCGTTATGCTTATCTCCAGGGAAACCATATAATAATACAGGATTTTGATTTTACAGTTAGGATGTGGCGTACTGATTTTGTGACTATGTTTATTTTATATGTAGGACAAAATTTGAATCGCTTTTTATCTGTGTACATATATAAATGAATATGACTATTTTGTTTTGTAAGTATAGCTTAAAAAATATTCATATTTCTATTGGTTAGGATTTTTTTTCAATGTTCGTTTGTTTTTTTATAGTTTTGACAGGATTTTCAGTAGTGTGTATATAATATTATCAGTGAAAATACATAAATATGACGTACCATTTCATTGATATCACCTAGTTAAAAATACACGAATGTAGCCGTTTATATAAAGGTTAGTACTTCTTAAGAGAGAAAGAGAGTGAATACGTAGAAATAAGGTTCATTTTAGTTCACAGAATTGTCTCTGTACTGTATATTATATGGGTAACCTATTCAACATTTAGCTATATGCGATTCGTATTTGAAATTATAGAGCTGCGGTTAAAATAACGATCCAAGTTCGACAATCACAATTCTAGCTAAAATTTATATGGAATCAATTATATAAAACTACCATAACATATAAATGATATATAATATATAACTATAGTTATATAAACCAGATAATTGAGCCGTATCTTAATTTCGTTATAAAAATGTCGATAGAATTTCTCAGGAACGTGTTCAATAAATGTAGGCAATCGGCTCTTTGATTATGAAAAAGGTAAGAGGTGCTAAGAGGCAAAAAGGTGAAGTGAAATGGGTATAGCGGGAGTGTAAAAGCACCCTTGAGTGAATCTAGCCGTCTGAGGACGTTTATATTGTCTACAATACCGTTGTGTTTGTAACAATAATTTTAATGTAAGAGAAATATTTAAGGAGCTGTTAAGTTATTACGTAATAACTTTCAGGTGAGATAGTTGAAATGATATATAATTGGTTTTATAAATATGTTTTCTTATTACAAACAGTTTTGATTGCTAAAAATGTACACGTATATAGCACGGATAAAGTTATCAAAAGGTTTTTGATATATATATAAAATTAAATGTCGGGAATAAATATCTAAAATTCATTTTACTGACTACTGTGATTTACACAACCTTAGAAGTGTGCCATATACTTCTTGAGAGCCTTACTTAAAATATGATGTAAAAGTATCTAGATTGAATGTTAAGATTTATTATTACCTTATTGCTTCATAATGATATCTAAGACTTTCGCGAGTATACATTTAAATAAAAGTAACATTTTCACATATACTAAGCGTTTTTTATCATTTTAAACTATATATCCTCGACGTTTCAGTTACTTTGCAGCAACCATGATCAATGTATGAAATGTGTAGTTTAAAATAATACAATACGTGTATTATATCCGAAAATATTAGTTTTATTTTTATAGCTTAGCATAACTTTACCGTGATAGTGTTAGTAGTGATTATTTTCATAGCAATCTATTAAAAAAGTATGCCCACCCGAGATATTTAGGGATGACTGAAAAACTTTATTTTTCTTGTTGCTCTGTAACCTTCTTCTACCTGGCAATTTCCCATCCTTAGCCAGGGTTTGCCTTACATGTTATGAATAGTTTTGGCTATTTTTTTTTACGACCGGCCGCCTGACTGACATCAACCCTCTTTGGGAATGCATTAATCAGTGGTGTCTAAATACTCTTAGAAAGTACATATGACTCGGAAAAATCATATTGATACTTGCCAGGATCGAACATGCGCTTTCATGCATGAGAGGCGGGCCTTTTAACTACTAGGCCACCACTGACGTGTTGGTCTGTAGTATTAAAAATTAACTAGCTATCAGTAACTCCTAGCAGAGAGTGTAAGCGGTAACTGTTGGTTCTTCAAAAACCTTCACACATAATGGTATTAAGGTACGTAATTAAATGAGAAACGGGAAACTCGTCGTATTCAGTGTGACGTAGCAAACCGTGTTAAAGATGCTAGTCATTTCTTATGACAATAACTCATATGTAAAATTTACCTTGACAAGATGTTG